ACTCAGCAGATTTTGACTTTTCGTTTCCCCCACACAGAGACAACAATTTGACGGGTGCAAATGTTGCTTAAAAGCTTATAAAGTCGAACAACAAAATGTTGTAATCGATAACACCTGCAGTTTTGCCAAAAATTGGCCTTCAAATTATGTAATTTTACATTATATCGTCGCCATTTTTTCACGCATTTCGAAGCTGCGTGTGCTCCTCGCGCATACCACGAAGCAGTGCTTCCATTTGCAATTAAGAAAATTTGCAAGGAAATAAAATGCAAGGAAATAAAATTTACAGGAAATGGCAATTAATTTTGTTGTCAGGAAGGGAATAAGAGGGATATTACGTTATTTCTAAGATTAGAGCATTTTCCAAGCAATCTCGATTCAGAAAATGTCGAAAATCCTATCCTGTAAAATGGAAAATCCGAAAAAATTTTGAGGGATGACCAACAGCTGGAAAATTTGTTGCGCATGCGCCAGACTTCCATTGAAACTTGAAGATTTCCGTCATTTCCCCGGACTCCCGAAGAAATAACGAAATGTTCGTGGTTGTTGTATAATTTTGAATATCTGTTTAATCTTTATAATTTTTTTTGCTTGACACAAAGTAGAATATCCTCTACGTATCCTGTGTATAGAATATCTCGTTTGAACAGCAATAGAATATTATAATCTTGGCAAAAACAAGAAGACATTTGACACGCTGAATCTGCTTTATCTACAGTCATTCCTGCCAATGGTCGCGAGCTTGACAGCTAGTCTTGTCAATCGGAAAACAAGTACAAATTTGAGTTCAAACAGAAAGAAGTCACGATTTTAATACAACTAACATATATTCTATACAAATACGGCTGTTTTAAAATGTTTTCAATTTGAATTTTCAAACTGCTTTTATCTATCGACATGATAATCAAACTGTGCAAATGCCGGCTTTTGTTGAGGCTTGCGAATGCAAAATAACTTCTCGTAAACAGAGCATTTCAACACAAAACTCTCGCTTAGTCTTCTGATGCACTTGTACGTTCGGTTCTACTAGTTAAACAAGGAAAATATTCAAGAAACTCTGGTAAATTATGGTTGTCAAAAAACATTTCAGTGCTGAGGCAGGACAGGCAGTACAAGGTCACAAGACCAAGGTCAAGTTGTCGATTTCATTACATTTTACAGTGCTTCGTAGCCTGCGAATACAGACTCTATTTATGTCGCTTATTCCACTTGGAGGGGGGGGAGGGGACGCGATAAATAAGTTTTCCCCCAAGTGGAATAAGCGACATAAATGTAGACTGTTTCGCAGGCTAAGTTCTTCGATGTTCTCGAATTCTTGCTTCATACAAGAGCAGTAAACGCACGCATTTCAAAGCGAAATTAGGCGCAAAGGGGCAATTTTTCATCAAAATTTGTTGTTAAATTCTGTTTCGTTAATTAAAACTAAATTTTCAAAACACTAAAAAAACTAGTAAGAAGATAAAAACCTTACTAATTTGATTTTCATTTTGGACAAATTTTGATTAATGTTAATAAACATGTTTATGGAAACAATCGCTTGACGTCCGCATTGCGCTTAATTCCGTTGAGGCATGCATAAATCTGCCTTCCTTTGAAACGCATGCTGGAACGCCCAATTCAAGGTATTATTACGACGGAAACATTTTACTCCTTTCCCCAGTCTCTCTACAGGAGATTTATTGTCCGAAAAATAAAGTTGCTACAGTTAACTATTTGCAGATCAAACATTGACTAAAAATGCTTACTCAGCATTTTTCCAAAACTTTGGTCAGCAATATTTCAGTAACAATTGACCGTACGTGATTATCGTAATATAGTTTTTTTGTACACATGTGATGGTCTATCCGTCAGTCTTTTCAAAGTTTTGAATTTCAAAAATTTTTAGTTTTCTCATCTATGGATGACGTCATACATAGATAAAAGCAATTTTCTCGAGACCTGCATGTTTGCCGAAGTACAACATTGGTGTTTTATCATTGAAATGGATCCACTCAACATATAATGAAATCAAAATTTGGTCTCCGTGGGGGGGAAACGAAACTTGCTTTCCAGCTTCATTCTCGCGAGTGGCTGATGGCCTAAAGTGGCTCTTGGCAACTCCAGATGAAGGGTCTTCGCTCGAAACATCGAAATTCGCCAGTTGTATTTTTCAGGTAGTTACCAACGAAAGCTTGTTAACATTATTGCCACTACATACACTGGCACGCTATTTTGTCAGTACTATCGTTTGCCATGGATAAGTGTAATCAGACAATCCTAATTATGATATGTTTAATACATGGTTCTGCTTGTCATACCCTATACTACCACAGCTGATCAGGAGGGCACATCCAAAGTATTTTTAAGTGGGGTGAGGGTCCAACTTTCTTATAATGTTTGCATATGGCCTAATGTAAAGCATTGCAAATTCTCTTTTCAGGGGTGGCTTTTGAGCCACAGACATTCCAACCACTGGAGGTAAAATTTAGGGAGACTGTTCAGTGAATCAGAAATCTAGTTATTCTGGGAAAAAAGAATAAAAATTAAGTCTTCTGAAATGGCGTTTTCTGCAATTTGGGACTATGTTGTTATAAGTGATCCTATAGATTGCCATACAGCAACTTCAAAAAAGGTCAAGACAGACTATTATGTTGCTAAAAACAGTATATTTATATAACTTTTTATGATATTTCCTGAAGGTATTCTGAAAAATCGGGAGAATTTGATAAAAATCTGAAGACCGGGAGATTGCATGAATTTTCGGGAGACTCCGGGTAAAATCGGGAGAGTTGGAATGTCTGGAGGCACACCGCAATTAACTCATTAAGCTGCAGAGTAAAGTAAAGAAAATAAGTAGGGCGAACTGGGGCGCATTGCGGCTCAATACCAAAAAAAAATAAATTTTTGTATTCAAATTTGTTTGGAAGTCAACTAAAAATGGTGTACGAGTTATTCCATGCTTGCAAAGTATCTATTGCTGGGTTGGGTTATTTCCCCAAGAAAATTTTTGAATGCCTTGGACAACATTTCCTGCATTTTCTGATGGGTATTCTTAGGTAAATGATACTAAATTCGCCATGGTTAACCGTTTCTCATGCTCCCATCGGAAAATTTGGAAATAAACATTCCCTGAAATTTCCAGCATTTTGTGGGAAAATTATATGAAGCACTATCTGTAAAGTATATGAAACACATGATTTTTCACAACTATATGCAGGTGTAAGGGAACTGTACATTGAAAATAAAAACTTCACCTTTATTTTCATTGAAAATCTGGCAAAAGCCATGCTTGTTCTACACCAGATTGTTACTCAGGCATTCAGGTTTTGTAATATGTCTATTAACAATTTGCACCTCTTTGTTCATCTCTTTCAACATATTGCATGTACAAATTAAATGATTTGTTTTGGATTAAATTGGACTAACAATATAATATTAATACCATAAACATTTTTAGAATTGGGATCGACTTTTAGGAAAAAAAATAACGGGGTACCAACTTTATTTCAAAAGGAATTACAATATACATTGTAGATCTGAATATCCAGGGGCGGACTGGCTACCTCAAGGGGGCCCGGGCGATTTGGTTAGATGGGGGCCCTGACCCCCCCCCCCCCAAAAAAAAGAATTACCTTATCCTATTTTAATTTTTAGTAGGCACTTTTATCATTAGTCATTGATCTGCAAAAATGTCATTGGTTTATAAAAGTAACTTACGCAAATGAGTTGTAAATGAAATATGAATTTATGTTCTTAACGTCAAAATGGAGAATGGAAATTATTGTCTACTCTTCAATGTCTTCATGGCATTAGCCGTCTCAGTGCTAAGGAACTGTTGGCAAACGGGTTGATGATCTGTTCATTTGATATGTCATTGATCATCTGTTTATACATGTACGTCAGCATAAGTGCCTCTAATTTTTCCTGCCCAATGTTGCTTCTTAACATAAATTTAAGCGTCAAGAAACTTCTTGACTTGCGTTACACTAAGCGGTACTAAATACTGATAAGCTGCATATAGTTCGGAATACGTAGATAAGTTGAGACCATATTCATAAATGTCTTGGAAATCGCAGCTGAAACATGACCTGCAAGACTTGTTAGTTGTTTCTGCATGAATTGCATCAATATGATTTCCAATCTTTTCACAAGGACTCTAATGCATTTTGAGGCAGCCTCTGTCTTCTGCATTCATCGAATTGGCAAGGGTCCAAACAGGAAACATCTTGGTAAAGTCCTTGTGGTTCTCAAATCTACTATTGGTGCTTGTTACAATTTGATCCATTACGACATTGAATACATTCACTTGATAGTCCTCGTGAGCATCCATCGCCCTATTGTCAGTGTCATCCTTTTCACCGAAATGTAGTTTCCCTTTTCGAATTCTTTTTGTCGCTTTGGATAGTAGACGTTCTTCTACTGCAACATTGGTATCAAAGCAAACCCGTTTGCTCTTGGCTTTTTTGAGAACTGCATGTGGCAATATAAAGTTGCCCAGTTGCCAAGAATTCAAAGCTAAATTTTAGCATTTAGGCAGAGGATTGCGCAGCCCCTATAAGATACTAACATGCAGTGTCGCCCCATCGATTTTTTTTACAAGGTACATAACTATACTCTATATTGCTTTAAATTGCAAATTTGCGCACTGACCCGAGAATATCTTCGAGTTAATCACGCTTCTCTGCAGCTGAAAACGCCCACTTATTCCGTTTTGCCCCCCCCCCCCCTCAAAGCCATCCCTTAGTATCTTTTTGTGCATATTTAAAAGAAAAATACTAGGGAGAAAAGATCGCAGGGGCCCTTAGTGGGGCGAGAAAAGTGGTTGAAGCGTGCTTCCTGCTTTTCATGCTTATGATTTGGAGCTTCTAGCAATTTATTTAAATGACATTTAAGCCAATTTGAAGGGGCCCAAAACGGCCTTACAACTGAGCAAGGGGCCCACCGGGCGTTTGCCCGGTGAGCCCAACCTGCCAGTCCGCCCCTGTGAATATCCACTAGTCATTTAAGTTTCTAATATCCAAATGGTAGTGCTGGTTTTTTCAAGCTCTAATTACACCAACTGAAATGCAACCACGTAGCGAATTATTTAAACTAGGACTTACTATCGCAAGGAAAGTGCTGCCTTTTTGCCACATGAACTGAATGCAAAAGTTTATAATTTTAGACAATTCTCTAAAGGGAAGTCTACTTTTGACCTAATAGCCTCATTTCCACGTTTCATCTGTATTCATCATTGGAAGCATGGCAGGCATGCACATGAAGGTTATATCCCCTATGTTTCCTGCACAAGACCAATCACATGAATATCTTCTAAACTCTTCAGAATTTGCTCAGAGTCATGATGTGAGTAAAATACCCCTTGTATTCAAGCGCATTTATGTAGAAAGTTTCGTTTGAATAAGGCACAGAGTAGAAATATTTATTTCGATTTTTTCTAAATATCGGGGTTTTACCCACTCGCACGCACGCGCCACGTGTATGCTTGGCCATATCAGGGCCATATATAGCCCGATACACGTGCAAACCATGCCACTGGGAGTACTTTGACTTGTAGAATCGATTTCCTTTTTTTCCAGAGCCGCAGTGTATTAAAACAGCGCTTTGTTTTGATGCACGTTTCATGGGCCGCACTAAAGGCGGTTTTCCAGTCCTCGCACGAAGCCCCTCGCTGCGAGTAGTTGCATCTAATTAAAATTAACTGTTTAGCATTGTGATTGGATGAAAGTGTTCATGCATCACTCACAGCGAGGAACTGGAAATCTGCCTTAAGTAAGACCCCGTTCACACGATACCGGCATGGAATTCTGCCGGCAGAAAATCATCACGGTTCCAACTGTTCACACGATACCGGCAGATTATATTCCGCTTTGACAATATACTGCACAAATCAGTTAAAATAGACAGAATAAAATATCCCACAACAACTTTTGCAGTTTTGTTAATTAAATTTCATTTTGCAAACGTAATGAAATTCTTACGGTTGGGCTTTCACACGGCACTCTTGACGGTAGAATTTCGTTCCGTTTTCAAACTCTTACGGTTAAAATATCGTTTTCAAACTCTTACGGTTAATATATCGTTTTCAAACTCTAACGGTTGGCGTTAAGGTTTCACATTTTTTCATACCGGCATCGTGTGAACGCAACCCCTAAACATAAGAATTTCGTAGCGTTTTCAAACTCTGCCGGTATCGTGTGAACGAGGTCTAAGAATATAAATATTCTGTAAATATCGAAATAAAAGATGAAAATCTGAAGACACAAGCTTGAAAACAATACTAAAAAATTTTTTTCCGGACGAGTACGTTGCAATTGCTTTCCAAGGACTTTATCTCAATTTTTCATGCCAAATTTCGGAACTTAGCCCAAAAAACAAATATCTTGCCCTTTGCGCGGAAATATTTAACCCACAAAAATGTCTGGGGCCCAACAAAACATTTCCAAGGGCCCCAGCACCTCGGCACAGAGTAGATAAGACATACAGAGACGTAACTGACCGTTGTAAACACTGCGGAAGATTACGTTATCATGTACCCACTTTTTTTCAGGCGACCGGGCGAAAAATGATCAACTGCGCGTGCTCAGCAAGTTTAAAGTGAGTCGTCATCAGGTCGTCATCCAATCAGATGCATGCATCTAGTAACTTGCCGAGCATGCGCACAAAAAAAGTGGGTACACTAGTTACGTCTCTGTATGTCTCTACTCTGTGACCTCGGGGCTATCATTAAATTTCAAATGACGCGAGCCAACAGATCACGACACTTTTGTATATAAAAAAGGGCGTGTGAATTAAAGAAGTCACATATTATTAGCACTGATGTAGATCCGGGCTTACGGATCGAAAGCTTTGCAGTAATAAATTTACATGGTGTTTCCACAAACAAAATTATTGATAGATAGATTATTGAAATTTTCATTGCAGCCATAAGCTGAATTAAGTAAAATTTACAAGAATTGATAAAAGAGAGGATCTTAAAACATGTTGGAGAATTCCACTATGCATTATATATGTACAACTTAGAAAATACAATAGCTAAATGCTAATTATGCCTAAATTAGGTTACGGTAAAAACTATTAGATTGCCTAATACTATTGTTAATTATGCCTTAATTGAATTACTGATGATAAAACTATTTCCAAAACGGTTCGTTTTTACTCTTGGGTTAATGAATTTCGACTTTTTCGTAAATTAAGCGAGATAGTTTACATTGTTGATTGTGTTCGTTATATTATGAAATATGATACCATACCTTACTTGTGTCGAACGCTAATGTTATTGTATTAGGCAAATGAGAACCATACAATACATGTTTTAATTCTTGTTGGTATTTGAAATTGTTGGCAAATTGTAGTTGTTAAAATTTGCGCAACCAGCGCTAGCTGCGCGAATTCTAGACTGTACTGCGCGAATTTTAATTGATGCCGCAGCGAGGTCGCCTGAAGCGACCGAGCAAGGCAGCAGACCTAAACTTTAATATGGGGGTTGAAATCTGAAGTTTAACCAAGCGCGATGCATTATGGTCGCCGGTATTTTTTACCATAATGCACTTCGGTCGGCTTCTTTAATCCTTCACGTGCGTGTGATGTTCGGTGATGATTGATGAACAAGTATTGATTGATTGATTGATTGATAATAGTATTTATTCAGGAAAACCAACATCACAAGTTGTGTTTTTCAGAAGGTCCCTGAGAAAACTATACAAATACAAAAGATTATACAATAATAATATGCATGCAGATTATATGCGATGTATATATATATATATATAAACAAGAAAAGTTTTAGAATATAGAACTAAGATATTAAATTATATATTACAAAGAAGAGCTATTTGCAAAATGCGTTCGATTATACAATGGAGATTTAAGAAGTGCAGTATGAAAACTATCTAGATGGTTCATTGATTTAATGTTTTTGTTCAAATCATTATACTCCTTTTTTATCCAAGCTAATTGGTATAGAAGTTTCTGCTTTCCCCAATTTGTACTAAAGGCGAGCCTTTATTATAAAGGTTTTTGCTCTACTTTCAACATTTAATGTTAATATTAATATAACATCACTGTTGCTGTTTAATCTTTATTGTGTCTATATATTATTGAGTGAAATATTCGACATGAGCGCAGACTTCATATCGGATAATCGGATCGTATTACATTTCGGAATTTTAACAACAACAACATAAATTTGCAGAGTTACGTCCTGAACAATTTCGAGTGGGCGGTGTTAATATGGAATATTAACTAAGTGGGCGGCATCAATTTGACTAGGGCTTTCGGGCGGCTATGAATCGATTGGTAGTATTTCTGTCTTCATAGCATGCACCGAACCGAAGAAATGAACCTTGCAAAATCATAGATTTGAGAGATTTGAAGACATATTATGGTGTATTTATTATGACAATACTCGACTTTGAACAAACCAATCAATTAATAGTTAAATTATCAAACTCTTTCAAATACATAAATAATTAACATAATAGCCAGATATTTGTAGTAGGTAGCCATAAAGTAGGTAGCCATAGACATAGCAGTCTTCATATAGCAGAGATAAACCCTGTTGGCTGTTTCCCTCAATATTCGCAACTTCATTAAACCGGTTCATCACATCGATAAATAAACACTGAATATATATAAACTAAACTTGCAGATATAATCACTTTTATGTACTGAAAATTTCGGGTAACTATACGAATTTATCGCCTTAATTGACAAACCGCTACATAAACATAGAAAGCTAAAGGTATTTATTATAGTACACTTTGATTTTGAATTGACTCCTTGAAGTGACATTGAATTTTGCCCAATCGATTAATAGTGGGCTGTAAACTCATGAAATATCCTAGCTATATCGAATACTAAAAAGTTCAACGTCTTCATGTATGTCAACAGAAAGAAATAAAACCATCCTTACCTGAATTATTCTAAATGTTGTAGATCGTTTGCATCCATATTAAAAACCTCGTTGAAAGTTTTAACCTTTCAAATAATAAACCGTATCCGAGTGTCAGTAGATATATACATTAGCTAGATACATACGTCATCAAAACACACCATATAAAAAAGAATTGATCAGAACGCACGCCATCGTGTACTTGTGTTCGAGCTTGTGTTACTCAGGTATAGGTACGGTAAACAGGTATTAAAAGTAGTCAAACATACATAGATTTTAGATTGCAATCACACGATAAACATCATAATATCACAACGCGTAGGTAATTTCAATTTGGATGAACGATCAAGAATTAAACAAGCGAAACTCTATGAAATACTGACAAAGGCACAAAGCTGCGTGGTTTATAGAGTAACTCGATCGCTCTTTCCGCACGTTCGTCACTAGTCTCTTTCGTGCTTTGCTCTTGGTGTGATGTTGTGACGTCGTGTGATGGTCACAATTAAAATCATCAAAATAACTGAAAAATATATCGTGCATCAGATGACCAATTTAGCAAGTAGGTATATATGATTCTTGAAGATGAATTAATGATTGTACAGAACGGCCACTCCTTGCAATCGAAGTGCGGAAGTGGAAACATGTAATATGAGACTTTTCCATCCCCCTCTTGGGCTATCAATTTTCAATGGGTCACGTGACCAGCTCCGACCAGGGTCTTTGCTTCCCAAGAGCAAAGAGCCTGGGAACGAGGTTGCTTTCTTCCGAAGTTTCATGATTGCTCTATCCCAACAACTATATACTGAAACGGGGGGGACGGGTCCGGTAATCAATCCGCAGTTGTTGCATGTCCTTTCCCCGCTTATGCTGATAAACTGGTGTTTGCGTCCTTCGAAACAAAAGTGTTTGTCGGGAACTCCGGTATATACTGGCTTTTTCTCCGGTTCTTCCGGACCGAGGGAATTCAGGTACTCTTTTTCCGCCTGTTTGAAAAGATCCCTGTATATCTCGGTCCTTTTAAGATTGTAATACTTTTCTTCGATCTCTCATTCTATTAACTGTGATCTGCCTGATATTATCTAAAGCCGACTTACCTGTGTTTGATTGATGGTTTCCTTCCGCTTGTTTGATGATGTCCAGTCTTGACTGAAGCTCCTCTTCCAATTGTTTAAGGAAGTTCATGGCTTTTATTAAATAGCAAAAAAAAAAATTTATGTTAATTCTGAGGTGACCCCGAGATGATCCTGAAATTATTTAAGATGATGTTAAAACTATCTCAAAAGGATTTTGAGTAACTTTTAAGCACATCTTAAGTAGTTTTGAGATGACCTTGAGATGACCTTGAGATGACCTTGAAATTACTTAAGATGGTGCTGAAACTATCTCAGGAAAATTTTAAGTAACTCTTAAACAAATTCCAGGTAATTTTGAGATAACCCTGAATGCTGAAACTATCTAAAAAAAAGTATGTATACTAAATAAAAGATGAGTGAGCCAACAATAACAAGAGCAGAAAAGACCCAAAAACCAAAGGATCCGAGAAGGGTAGAATCAGGTAAAAGACTAGCCGCAATATCCAAAGAATGAAAGGCAAGGAAAGCGGCGGAAAGACGCAGCGCTGAAAGCAATTCCAATCAGGACGATTCGACAAATACGTTAATTTATATTTTCATCGGTGTTGCGACGGCCACGTTAGGAGGAATCTACTAAGGACAATAACCGACAGCGAGGAATACATCTTCCCAAGCATCGAAAAAGTAAAGGTTACGATAGAGGGAAAGCCAACTTCCGTATACAGTCAGGGCTTAACAACGGAAAATTTCTACGACGAAGCAAAAAGACTATTCGGAATAGCCAACAACACCTGTAACGATACCATAAGCGTCAGGAAATTCTACAAAAATAAATTCGCATTGGTAGTTGATCTGAGAGCTGTTGACGACAACCATGTCATTGGAAGTGGAAAAAAGCTTCTTGGTGATAATCCCGGAATTCTTCTAGAGATCGAAATCGACGGGATGACCGAAGACATTCTCTGTAACATTTTTGTGTTATCCGATGGACTTATAAACATCAGCGAAAAGACCCTCCAAGGTATTTGTTACTAAATAATAAAAGATGGAACCATTGGAAACACTATTCAACATGATTATTCTCGGAATGACCGGATGTGGGAAAACCTACTACCTACTGAAAATGTTGGAGAACGATTACAAAAACCACTTCGAGTATATATTTCTAATATGTCCCACATACGAATGGAATAAAACATATCAGGACTGGAAATACAATAAAGATAAGGACTTTATAGCCATGCCCTGCAAACAGGATGATGTAAATCCGTGCTTAGAATACGTTTCACGGTTCGCAGCAGGAACGAACAGTCTAATCGTCCTCGACGACTGTGCTACTAGTCAATCCGTCAAAAACAGGACCAGCGAATTGGTAAAACTTGGGTTTAGCGCTAGGCATATGGGAATCTCAACCATCGTTATCACTCAACAACTTACGTCTATTGCGAAACCCTATAGAGAAAATATATCCAAACTCGTAACCTTTTACAACCCATGCACAAAAGATACGAACATCATATTGGACGATTACCTGGCAAACACGGAAAAAGAAGAAAAAAAGGAAATCATTAAACGACTAGCTAGGCTGGAAATACTATTACGCCGTCCTTATACCCACAGAACAATTATTCCGCATATTAAATAAAGGAATGGAAACCAATTCGAATCTGTAGAACCTGAGACTCCTATCGCAAACGACCTAAGGCAAAAGCTACTGAAACTGGCTGACGCAGGTGAGATTAAATACACCGTAAAATATATCAAAAAGGCATCCGGAGGAACTTTGGAAAATATATACAAAGACTACGAAAGGCAGCAGCTGGAGAACACAAACAACCAACTAGCTTACGTAATCATTACCAAGTTTTCCGAACTCATGGAGGCGTTGGACGCTGTTAAGGATGCTGAAGGAATGAAAAAAGAACTGGAGGAAAACGATCTGCTTAGAAAAGACATAAAAAACCTCGTCAGTTACGTAACACCATACATCCCACTCATTGGAATACTAAGTGGTGGAATCACCGTCGGAAAGCACGTGATCAGTACAAGGGCAAGCTGTTTGGAAAAGGAGGAATGAAGTTCAACAGTTTATAGAAAAGATTTTTTTATACAAAAAAAAAATTATATATAATAAAAGCGTAATGGATATGTATAGGAAAGTCCAATTGTACTTCGAATGTTCCGAAGAAATGACGAAGTTTGTCTTGGAAATGTATAGAGACACAAACTTTACGGACGCCGGTGTTACTTTTTCGTACGAAGGAACTGATAGAGAGGTTGACGTTAGGTTCAAGGATGTGGGAACGGAACCGAATGCAATAATTATGGGTGTAAACGCAATCCCTTTTGGTCCACCGATTGGCATCATCGTTTTCCTCACCGTACCGGAAGATATGACGCTTGGGGAGATAGACCATTTCACGCTGGACGATCCGGAGTTTGGCATTAATTTGGGACGACCTGACGATTTCGCAGAGTCGTGGATGTTTTTCGAGGGGGCGGTGTGGCGACTATTTGTAGAAATGATTGGAAAATGCAGATAATGCCAAACTCGGACAATCTGTTTGAATGTTTATGGACTAAAATTAACACACAAAACTCGAATGTCTATGTTGGAACTATATACCACCCTCCTGATCACGATTATAATGAGAATGACCTAATTGAATATTTGATAGACACATGCGAACAAATACTGTCTGTTAAACCAAACTCCAGAATAATCATTGCGGGTGATATCAATAAATTAAATATTCGAAATCTGCTCAATCAGCTGTCGCTCATCCAACTTGTTAAAGTTCCCACAAGGGGTCAAAATATACTTGATGTCTTCATTACGAACGCTCCTCACGATTGGAAAAAAGTTAAAGTAGTGAAAAGCTTAGTAAAATCTGATCATGATATGGTAATAACCTATCCCCGAGATGTAATTAAAGCAGAAAGAAAAAATTCCTATTTTAGAGATGTAAGACAACATAAGAAAATAAATATGTTATATGAATTAGGAACTGTAGACTGGAATATGATAACCAAGGATGGGCAAACTCCAGATGAAATGACGCTGAAATTTTATGAAACGATGTGGCCGATATTTGAAAAGTGTTTTCCACTAATTAAGGTTAGAACCTCTTCACGTGACCCACCGTTTATGTCACCCCTTGTAAAGCATTTGCTAAAGCAAAGGAAAAGAGCTATACAGAAGAGCGATTCTGAATCTCACGCTCGTTTACAAGACCAGATAAACAAGCTAATTCGAGAGAACCAGTTAAATGCCGTCAAACAAGAGAACAAAAATCAGAAAACCGGATCAAAACAGTGGTGGTCCAATGTGAACAGTATTACAGGAAGAAATAATCGGAGTCGATCTGTCAGTGCAGCCTTTGATCCTAGTGAGATAAATGTATACTTTCAAAGTATAAACTCGGATCCTCAGTACGCGGCTCCAGAACCTGTCGAGATCCCTGATGGCACCAGGGTTCCTTCGCTCTCTATAAATACTACTCTACACCTTTTACAAAATCTAAAACGAACAGCATCCGGGCCAGATGATCTACCTTACTGGTTTTGGAAGGAATTTGCATTTGAGCTTGCTCCTACCATAACAAATATATTTAACACTTCATTGAAACTTAGCAAAGTTCCTAAAATGTGGAAACATGCAAATGTACTACCAGTACCTAAAGAATCTATCTTAAACTCTCTTAATCAACTAAGACCAATCTCTTTAACAGATATTATAATGAGATTATTTGAAAGAAGTGTGTTCAAAACTGAGATAGCACATGTTACAAGACACGCTATTGATTCAGATCAGTTTGCATACAAGGAAGGTCACAATTCGATTATGGCTCTGATCAAGTGCCAACACACATGGTTAAGATGGTTAGAAGGAGATGCAAAATATGTCAGAGTATTATCTTTTGACTTTCGCAAAGCATTCGATAGCGTTCCACACGATATTTTATGTGAGAAGCTTAAGAAGCTCCCCATCAACCCATATGTTACTAATTGGCTGATTAGTTTTCTGGAGGATAGGAAACAGAGGGTAGTGGTTGATGGAATAGAAACTGAATACTTGAACATTAATCGAGGTGTTCCCCAAGGAACAGTTCTGGGTCCTGTCCTCTTTTCGATCATGGTGAATGACATCAAAACAGTTAACCCCATAAACCAGTTAGTTAAGTTCGCGGATGACATGACATTAGAAGTACCAGGGAATGAAAACGGAGATACATCCCAAGCCGAAGTGGACAGTATACAAACATGGTCTGAAAATAATCGAATGTCCTTAAATATGGAAAAGACGTATGAAATGATTGTTAGGAGAAATATCCCTACGCTGTTGCCTGATCCTTTTCCATTTATTAAACGAAGGACGTGGTTAAAGATTTTAGGAATTACATTACAGGATCTCCCTTCCAAGTGGGATTTGCATTTTGATGAAATGTTGAAAAAAGCCAGTGCAAGAATGTACATAATGCGTGTCTGTAAATACTATGGCTTCCCAATCAAACAACTGGACATGCTGTTTAACACTTTAATTATGCCTATAATCACTTACGGCATAGAACTTTGGGGAGGCGCATACTTCAATAAATACATTAGTCAAATAGACAAATTCATCAATCGCGCTCACAGAAATGGTTACATATCGGAAAAATTGAATATTAAGGAGATAAGCATCAAAAGGGACAAGAAACTTTGGGATAAAGTAATACATAATAAAGATAATGCACTACAGGAGCTTTTACCAGATAAATTAAATAGACACCTTAGGCCAAGGGGACACGAGTTTGAACTTCCATTAGTGAGAACAGAGCGATTTAAAAGTTCTTTTGTAAATCGATGTTTGTTTAACTTTGTTTAACCAATTTTAACCTTTACCTTTTTAACATTATTAATATTTTTATCCATAACTGTATATATCTAGTTATTACCTTATAGATATCAATAATTTTATCTTATATATTTTTATAATGTAAACTCACAGACGGGTGTTCTTGAGTATGAATAAAGACTGTTATTATTATTATTATTATTACCGTCTAATTTCAAAATTTGCGGTTTTGGTGTAAATAGGTAATGGGACAAGTACTGGTGTGAGACATTGTGTAACCTAAATAATTAGAGGACCAGTATTCAAATTTATTGTTATTTACTCCAACTTCAATAGTATAGACTGCATATACGTGATAGATTATGGCAAGATGATTATAGGAACTAAAAAAGGTGTGAAATAGCAAGAGAAGGGATACGAAAAGTAGAGAGAAAAAAAAGGAGGAAAAAGGAAAGGCAACCCTGTACGCGTTTCGACCTAACAGTCTTCTTCAGCAGGGTTTTTTAAAGGGGGGTGTAGGTAGAATTTGCAGAGGAGAATGAAGGAGAGTTTAGGAGTTCGCATAAACTATGGCATAAAAACAAAAATGAAGGGTTGGAGGAGAGTGAGAAATGAAACTCTAACCTTACTTCTCCAGATGTGCGATGAATGGCTAAAAAATATGGATGAGGGTAAAATAACTGGTCTTGTTTCTCTGGATATCAAGAAAGCATTTGATTCAATTAACCATCAAATTTTAATGTCAAAAATGAAAGACCAGTTTGGTATTCGTGAAAATTAATTGAATTGGTTTACCTCTTACTTGACTGATCGTCAGCAAGTTTGCTGTGTAAGTTAGAGTTATAAACCGAGAAGGAGGTTTATAACTGATATATTGCCCCCCGAGGACGCGCAGCGTCCGAGGGCAATATATCAGTTATAAACCGACTTTCGAGGTTTATAACTAACTTATATCTCATTTGTCAATTTGTGGAGGTTTTCTAACATATTTTATCATTTTCAAAAATTTTTGATGAAAAATTCTCGCGTTTTGTCGAAAAGTTTGATGTAATTATTTATTCAAGGTATAGACCATATATCCTCTTGGAAATCCATAGAAAGTGGTGTGCCGCAGGGGTCCATTCTCGGTCCTTTGATGTTTTTATTATATATTAATGATTTGCCGCAATATTTAAAATTTACAACTCCGGGTTTATATGCTGATGATACGCAGATATTTGCCTCGTCTGATAATTATGATGAACTGGTGGGCTATTAAACTCTGATTTGAAAATATTAGTAGATGGCTCTCGGATAACAAACTGCAACATCATACTACTAAAACTAAGTTAATGTTCATAGGCTCCCGGTACAATATCAAAAATAAAATTGGAGATAAATTAGTGACCTTTAAGAGTAAATCATTAAAACGGTACAGATCTTTTAAATGTCTAGGAGTTGAGTTGGATGAACACCTTAGTTGGGAAGTTCACATTAATGCAATCTGTAAAAAGGTTGGTGCAGGGATAGGAGTTTTAAAACGAACAAAACCATTCGTCCCCAATGAAACCCTGCACATCATCTATAAGGCGTTAATTCTGCCATACTTTGAATATTGCTCCCCTTTGTGGGATAATTGCGGAACTGTACTAAAAGAAAAACTACAGAGATTCCAAAATAGAGCTGCAAGGGTGTTGACGGGAGTAAGTTATGATACCAACTCCTCTGAGCTCCTTGAACGGCTTAACTGGAAAAATCTTGAAAACAGATTTAGATTTAATAAAGTGGTTCTGGTATACAATATTCTTAATAATGGTACTGCCCCCTGTCTTCGAGAATTCTTTTCTGCACAAAGCAATAATGATAATGACTATCATCTCAGAAATTATGATACAGATCTCTCACTTCCAAAACCTAAGAAATAATTTCTTAAAAGAAGCTTTAGGTATAGTGGAGCTGTACTGTGGAATAGCCTTTCTGCTGAGGCTAAGTCTGCTCATTCGGTTTATTGTTTCAAAAGACTTATTCGAATCTTGTTTTTAATTGTTATTCCATTTGTTACTACACATTATGTTCTGGGTAATATTCTTTTTGGGTCTGTAGGTTAATTAGTTTTTTCTTCATTTTTATATACTTGTAAATAGCTAAATAGACGCCCCTCCTGAAAACCAGCCTTATAGCTGATGAGGATAGCGTCTCTAAAGAAATTAAATACATTTACATGTCCGATGGTATGGGAAATCTGTTTAGGATACGGTGGAGTGATCGATCGGTTATGCCTGTTGAGTACGAAAACAGCTTACCCGTCAGCGGTATTGTTGCTCTTTAAATTTAAAATTTTAATGTTCTTTCAAACATTAAAATTGGTTCTGCTACCTTAGGCTTCTGTATCCGATTAACCTCATTACAAAAGCCATTCATCCGGTTCTTCTACCTTTTCCTTCAGAATTTTTGCTTTGTATAGCTTCATCTTGTCGGACACGTAAATGTTATCAATCTTGATGATCGCGTCCAGGTGGAAGCGTTCACTTCGCAGTTTCATGGGATTGACATTAGAACCACCATCTTCCGAGCGCATCTGTGCCCCCTAATCAATCTTTGCATAAAGGGTAGGGCTCTTTCCCTTTCTAGAAAGACACCTAATCACATCACTACCCGGTTTTCCCGCATGTTTTGCACACTCCTTTTCCAATAATTCCAAAGCTGTCATGAATTCCTCGTGTGTGCCAACAGCTAGTGGAATTGAATAGTTGACTTTTTCAAACTTATTGTTCAAACATTTTCAAACTGTTTTTCAAACTGATGAGGGGGGTGAGGGGGGGGGGGGGGGTCCGAGAGGGGTGCGAGGGGTTGCTGGGGGTTGGTGGTTGGTGGTGACGTCATAGGTCAGGAGATGTTATAAACTGGAAGTGACGTCATCAGATGCGCGTGTGAGGTGCGCAGTGGTGCTTAATTGGTCTTTTTTGTCACCCTGGGGATGGGGGTGGGGGTGAGGATTTGTCAACAAAATGTCCCAGAATCGGCGTTTTCCTACTACTAGGGTCTTTTCTGAAATTGCGGAATGAGATTGACAAATAACAGTTAGCGAATTGAACAGTGACCGCCAAGTGTCTTTGGAAGTGGGGACCACGCCTGTGAACAAAGCCTATTTTAACCGTATATCAATTACCTTTTCTTTCTTTTCTCGGCGAGCAAGTGAAGGGACCATGGCCCCAATAGCTCTCCCCCCAGCTCCATGCACGGTCCCAGAAAGTTGTTCAAAAAAGCAGGCATTTTTTTGACAGTTGATTCAGACTTTATTTGATTCCTAAAAGTACACTTTCTTTCTTTTTACTCGACACAATGGAAAACAATATAGTTGCCGAAAGGTGTTTCTCACGTAGTGTCATCGCCGCTATCTTCGATGAATTTGACAAACCGTTTTATTAATTTGCCGGCAATTCTAAGTCCACCCAACACGGCAAAAATCTCTTTCGTACTTTGCATGAAACCCTTTCATATCGATAACATACAAAATTAAACTAATACATGGATAATTTAGTTTAATCACACTTGAATAATGGCGTTCGGTGCAGGCTATATATTGTTGACCATGCTCATCCAAATAACACGTTCTGCAACTTCTGCGTCGACTGATCATGATCGATTATCCATTCATCAACTGATCATGATCAATTATCCATTCAGTGCCACGTTGAACGTTGCTTTGAATTAATATATTTTGTCCTCTATGTAAAGCAAAATATTAAAAGAAGTGCTGATTTAACAATTTAATACTTTGCCATGTATATACAGCTAATCCAAAGGGCCCGAAAAGTGGGAACGCTTTCTATCGTAAAGTTTGGCCGCCTGTTTATGCACAAGAATTAGCTATGACCATTAAGTCTTTCTGACTAAATACGGCAAACATGTAGAGTTTAAAGCTTAGTTTTTAATTAGCTGTATTTTAAAACTTCCAGTCTCAGCCACATGATTTAACTATACGTGGATATCGTCAAAATTCAGAATATTTACTGTTGCAAGTTGTCTCGCAGGAAAATGTAACCCGCTGTGCGGTACCGGAGTGTACACACATGCAGGAACATGTCAACCAAGTGGAAGATGTCTGTGTTTCTGGAGGTGGACTGGACCCAATGCTCAGTACACAACAAATAACCGAATTTTGGTACGTAATAAATTTGCCATTTTATGCCATTGGGATTGTGCAGACGTATATATAGATGTATGTGAAAATCGCTGAAGTCACACTGTGCTAGTGGATGAAAAAGAGAAAGTGATTCTGAGCATTTTTAGGAATATTGCGTTTCATCCAATTCTTCGAAATATATATTATAGAATGGGTCAAATCTCAGAATGTTTTTTTTTATTTTGGCCAACTCTGACCTGATCTTTCGATCCCTGTCATTTGAGGAACTTCAACTTGGAAGTTTCGTGCAATCTAGTCAATCTCCTGAACTAGTGTGCTCATTGCAAGAAAATGTAAAAGTTACATATAAAGATGTAATTTTTAATCTTCATATTTCTTCTAGGCTGACTACTGTCGTATTCCATGTCATTATACTCCTGACTATAAAAATCCAGACTGTGTGAACTCCAATCAAACCGGAAAATGTAAAGTGCCAACATCAACAACGCCAACGAAGCCTTGTGATCCTAAATGTGGAAATCGTAAGAACTATACTGTTGAGCATGGGTTTTACTGAAATAAAATTTAACTTACATTATGCATCCTAACACCTTATCCAGAAGTCATTCATAGTTTTTATGATTCACACTGCGAAAATAAATTCATTATATATATTGTATTTTATTCGCAGCGCCATATCACGGTCGAGGAATATGCATGAGTGATGGTCGTTGTCTCTGTTGGTGGGGATGGACTGGACCGAATGCTTGCTATGTTGAAGATGGAACATATAGGAACAGAATCATTGTAAATAATTCGATAATGGATAGCAATATTTATAGTTCTAAACTATACTTCTGTCAGAAATGAAATAGTAGTCTTCCCTTAATTATATAATTATCCAGTGTTACTGCAGGAGGAGGTAGACTGGAATAGCAATGGCAACTGCGGTGCATGTTTGGTATGGTCAAGCCGGGAGAAAGCCCTCTTCACAGAAACAACTGAGGCGAAAAATAATACACTTGCACAGACTGCAGGAATATAGGCCAATCGCCGAGGTATAGAAAGGCACAAACTAGTGGGCCACCAACATTTCTATAATTATGTGCATAATTAGCAACTTGATGAATATCAGCAGGTGATTTCCCAGGCTGGAAACGGATTCTTATTATCAAAATTAAATTTTATAAAATGTCTTTGTTTAAAATCTTATGCTGGACTTTAATTTTTATAACAAGAATACGTGGTGAATATCTCATGACTTGAAGTGTATTCAATTGACACAGCATTATCAGAGAAATGAGTATTTTTATATCTACTACAGGCAGACTACTGTGCGAAGGCATGTCATTTTACGCCCTATGTACGGAATCCTAAATGTCTGAATGGATCTTGGGATGGAGAACAAGTCACTAAGACAACCGAGAAAGCACCAACTGAAGTTGAAACAACTGCAAAAGGTGAGTGTAGTTATTCAACTTTTCAAGCATTCAATTTTATATCAATCACAAATTTGTACCTGTAATGAACGTACAAACCTGTACAGAATTGCGTACAAACCTGCACAGAATTGCATCTGGCGAATTCATACAGCCTTGAAGATGTGTTTATTTCCTTTTTCAAATAGTTTACGATACACGTGCCATTATGTACAAGAAAATGACGTATTCTTATTAACTAACTGTATTTAGGTAACATGTACAGTATATTATACTACAAACATGCGATTGGATGTTCTGCTATTCCTTAAGATTCTCGAATAAAGCATGTGTTGAAATTGAAGATGCTCCGCAATTTTGTTGCTATAGGATAAATATTTCCTCCGGGATCTAACTCTTCAGGTCTGTTTTTTCTACACGAAACTCGCAGCCTTCCGATTAGTGAAAAAATGTACTCTTATTATTACTGTAGTTCCATGTGATCCACTCTGTGGTACTGGTGTGTATACACATGCAGGAACTTGCCAGCCAGACGGGAGATGTTTGTGTGCTTATGGTTGGACGGGACCACATGCTCAATACACCGCTGGTAACAGGATTCTGGTAGGTGTGCCATTATGTAGTAATGCAGGAATTTAGTACGAATTTAACGATATACCTAAAGGTGGGATATAGAAGTTCATATATATAATTGTGCTTGACTAAGCGACTTGAGCAATTTTTAATTAATCACCTTTTAGAGTGTGAGCAAGGTCTTAATCCCTCTCCCTTGGTGGCGCCCCTGAAAACATGGAATTGACATGTCATCATTTTGGACCCCAGTGACACAGAGAGCCTATTAATATTCTGATACATCTATAAATACTCCTAGGCTGACTACTGTCGTGTACCATGCCACTATACACATGATTACGAGAATCCTGAATGTGTCAACTCCAATCATACTGGTGATGAATGTAAAGTTCCTGATTCAACTACGCCCACAACGCCTTGCGATCCTCGATGTGGAAAACGTACGTAAAACTTGATATAATATTTTACTCTCTTTCTCTCTTTGACTTTGACCAGAATAAATATATTCTTAAAGTCAGGCAACCGTGAATAAAAGTTCAAGACCAAACAGTCGACATTCAATAAGATTTCTAAATCTTTCATAGACAATGGTTCATTTCAATGGTTCATTTTGATTTGGTAATAATAATAAAGTATATATTAGAAAAGTAATAGACTAAATAAATTTCTGTAAAAATTTGTATTAGATCTCGCTCTACCCAAAACTGGAATTAATTTATAGCTTCGCTTAAATAACTTATTCTATACTACAATGCATGTACATTGATCACTAAAATGTCTATTTTTAATACTGGAACTAAATCGAGTTAATTGTACTGTCGGCTGAAATTTGTACGTGTCCGCATTCTTTACTGAAATTGATAAATAGCTCAATTGATAGCTGATGAACATGAAACAGCGATTTTGAACTGATAATTTGCAAATATTCCACGATCAGGTGACAATACACGCTTCCGGAAAGTACGTCACTTTGGCTATAGAGCTTCGTTTTCACGATTGAGACGAAAACGAGGCTCTATAGCCAAAGTGACGTACTTCCGGAAGGGTGTATTGACTGTAATTTTATTGGCAACTGACATCCAAGGACCCCCATCGGTTTCATAGCCAGGATACGTGAAAATGTAAGATCGAGTAAACAAGCGGCTATATCGTGGTGAAATGAAAAATAAATTTAAACTTCAGTTCGATAGCTCAGCAACTTCCACCACGGTGCGTCAAAATAAAAATTTGATATTAGTATATACAGTACGTAATTTTCTCCATACAGCACCCTATTATGGAAAAGGGCAGTGCCTCAGCAATGGTCGGTGTTTATGCTGGTGGGGATGGACTGGACCCAATGCTTGCTACGTTGAAGATGGTAGCTACAAGAATAGACTTATTGTAAGTATCGATCAGATAGTCAGAACAACCGCCATGCAGTCATTCAGAACAACCTAAAAAATTAAAAATAAAATTAAAAATAAAATTAAAAATACTTTGATGTTTGAAGTGAAGAGCCTTAATTCGTTACTACTAGCATCATGATGAAGGATCTTGAATATCTTTTTTATGTTCCCTGCCAGTTTTTACCCAAGCCACGCCGTTTATTATAATTACAAATACAACTATATTTGAACAAGCATGCATTTATCCTGGTACATGGAAACTGCGCAAGGTTGCAAGTACGCATGTGCAGTTGCTTACGATCGTAAACAAGGGAATAATTCTTCACACAATTGTTTTATATAGGCTGACTACTGTGTGACCGCATGCCACTATACACCTGTTGTCAGAAATGGGACATGTCTGAATGGTACTTGGCCGCCTGTTGTAATAGCCAGAGCTATTGGTAGGCAAGTTGCACCAGTCAAGAAAGGTGATCAATGTTCGTCATTTTGTCTTCATAGTGAGCGTTCAAGGGTTTCTTACCTTAAACTATTTATTTTGCGCCAGATGTATGCATTATAATGTACTTATAAAGAACAACTTTTTTTCTGTGTTGGTGTTGTGTACTCAGGTGAATAATATGTTTGCGATGTTACTCTGAGTGCATATCCACACCGGGCGAGCTTGAAAAACATGCCCGGCCATGGTGGGATTCGAACCTACGACCTTTGGAATACTAGCCCAATGCTCTTCCAACTGAGCTACGCGGTCAGGACGGTTCGAGTAAGTGATATTTCGGAACAGTATCTAGTTCCTTCAATACCAATGTGTTCTAGTAATATGAATTTTTCGGTGTTGGTGTTGTGTACTCAGGTTAATAATATGTTTGCGATGTTACTCTGAGTGCATATCCAAACCGTCCTGGCCGCGTAACTCAGTTGGAAGAGCATTGGGCTAGTATTCCAAAGGTCGTAGGTTCGAATCCCACCGTGGCCGGTTATGTTTTTCAAGCTCGCCCGGTGTGGATATGCACTCAGAGTAACATCGCAAACATAAAGAACAACTTGGTCGTCCCCTTGTCCCTTTGACGAGAAAAATCGTGTTAAACAAGGTAAAATAATTAAAAGATACCCACTGGGCGCATTGCTGCTTAATTAAATATATCTTAAGACTTAAGTGACAAATAGAAACATCGGATGCAAAAATATTAGTGATCTTTCATATTTCTGTAAAGGAGAGTTGATGAATATACAAATAATGAATGTTTATGAGTGCAATGGTAAGAATATTTTCATGAGGTGAAAGATGGAATGTTCCATTCAACGAGGCGACAGCCGAGTTGAATGGAACATTCCATCTTTCACCGAATGAAAATATTCTTACCATTGCACGAAGAAACATTCATTATTTGTTTTATATAAAAGCAAAATAGACTAATAGATTCGTATGAGAAGCATTTTGGGGGATGCGATTTATCGAAAACACAAAGAGTGCAATTGTACTATACGTTTTATTCCATTGCACTCGCGGAGAGTGCAATGGAACGTGTTCCATTGCACTCTTGGGAAATGGAATTTTCTATTCAATATCACGTGACCATAAACAGCCAATTAAATGATTAGAATTTATTAAGGTATTATATAAAACTAACTAACCTGACGAAAATATACCGTCATCTCTCACCATTACCCATTGTCTACTATTGCGCCATTTTAGATTTGGGTCTTAGATTTCAGTCGTGTTCTGTCCGTCGTGAAGACGGGAATTATTTTCAGTACAAAATAATTCATTTAGTATTTTATTAATTACTAATACCAAGAACTGTCCTTTTGGCTTATAATACCATTTGGAGCATGGCGTTGTGACTTACCTGATATTGATATTGTTCTCTGCAGTTGCAGTAAAATGCGATCCAAAATGCGGCACTGGGGTGTACACCAATGCTGGAACATGCCAGGATGATGGAAGATGTCTCTGTTTCTGGGGTTGGACTGGACCCAACGCTAAATACACCACGAACAATAAAATTTTGGTTTGTGTAAAATTTTATAACATTAATATAGGGAAGCAGGATAAAATCTTGATAACGAAATCTTCTCAAATACCCAAACACTATGAGAAGCTATACTGTTCGTATGTTTCTTTCTATCAATTCACTTCTCTGATGAAAATTAGAGAAAACTCCAGATATCTTATCTATAGCTTTGTCTAAGGAAGCATTATGGCACAACACACGGTGCTCAATTAATCTCAAAAGTGTTATTAACAATTACTGGAACAACGTAGTTAGAATTCGACCTCTTGTTTATTAACTGGAAAAGACTTTCTCAATCTGAATGTTATTGTTTCATGCAGGTTGAACACTGCTGCGTGATAGTGCTTAAGCTGATTCATCAGTTTTTTACTGCGCATATCTAATAACAAATTCTAGCTAATATATGTAGTCGATCTGCAATGTAGAGTGATAAAAAAAGAGTTAGGGCAAAGAGAAAAACACTCTGCATTGATATAGGCGTGCTTCAGGAAATATACCTTCAAAATATGATATATATAACTCTGGCTAGGGCTCCTGTGCAACTAACACTAAACCACATCATGCATGTTGCATGTTTGACCCTTGTATCTCTTGAAGAAAGCCCGTGATCCAACTTTTTTATTTATATTTGTGTTCTTCTATACGTTTTACATGTCATATCAGAAAATAATAGAAAAATCATTTCTACAAATCATAATTTTACATTTGATGAGAAAAGACATCTTTGCACGTCAATGGTTTTTGATTCGCTAAAATACCATGTTTTGTTGTATAAATCACTAGATAGACATTTTTAATAGGATCCTTGTTAAAAAAATTCAATAACGGTTGAGAAATTGCGATTGTTCCTGTAACTCGTAAAAGGGTCAAGATGGCGCCATATGGGGGGAAAGGTGGCATATCGCACTTGTCATATCTTCGAAACGAGTTCGGTGAGCCCAACTTTTTTCTGTTCTTACTATGAGCATATCCCATAAACGTCTCCCCCTGGGAGGTTTCAGCAAATTCTCATATCCAGAACAATTACTGATGAATCACCTTTACGACACTTTAACCCTCCAAATACCACGGCCAGCGTTCAATTTTAAAAAAATACCAAAAGAACAAGGTCATCTCCAAAGAAGAAGGTCATTTTGAGATTCAATGTGCAAGACAGTTACGACAAGTTTTTGAGACTATCGTCTTGTTTAATTCATATTATTGTTCATCCTTTAAATTTCAAGATGACATTTTTGTTCGGAGTTTGTTTGAAGCTATATATTAAACAAGAAGGTATTTAATTATATTGACAGCTTCAATGCTTTGAAATTTCTAGGCTGATTACTGTCGTATACCGTGTCACTACACCTACGACTACGCCAACCCAGAATGTGTGAACTCTAACCACACAAAACACGAGTGTGTACTACCTGCCAAGTCTGATCCCAAGGTACCATGTGACCAAAGATGTGGAAATCGTAAGTTTCTCTTATTATATGTTATCGACGTCGCTACTAGGTCTGACTAAGCTCGGTAGTTTGTTAATTTATTTTCCTAGAAACACCATGCAGAGTTTACTAAATAATATATTTTCAAGCTGATTTTTATAACCACCAATATGCTCTGAAATACCGAATTTCATTTTTGGATATGTTAATGCAGGTGTCTCACAGACTTCTTAGAATATCCTTATATCGCCTTTTTCCACATTTCTTTGCACCCTGTGGGGGGGGGGGGGATACGCGTTAGAATCTCGAAGTTAAAACTAAGTCTCGACTGAGGACAATGACGATTTACCGGAGGAGCTTCATCTGTAAAATCTCGTTAAAGCGTTTGTAGATATGGTTCCGAAAAGAATGGATTTCGTTTAGATTTTTAACTGTTAGATGCATGTATGTCATTATCATAGCATGTATATTTTTCTCAAACTAATATTCTGTATGACAAGTAATGCAATTTTGAAAATGCGGAAATAATTGCTGTCTCATAGAACCTCGAATTATCTAATGCAAAATTTCCCGGATCATAATGACAGTGGGATTTTCTCTCCCCAGGATCACAGAGGAGAAATAAGGTGACGCAGACCCCTCTTCCAGATTTCCGGGCTGATTTTTCCAATTCATTTAATTCCGAGGAGAAATGTTTGGAAAATCATGTCATTGACGTACTTTATAATCTTTGGAATTCTGTGCGTGCAAAATTTCACCTCAAAAATCTTGAAATCGCTTTTCAGGGACTCTCGATTTCAAAATTACGGACACCTGTATAGCCGGTCTCACGCCTTCGGTGTTCGCTTTGCCCCCACCCCTCCTCACAAATTTTTGAAGATTAAAATTTTTAAATTCGTTTCCATATGTAGCTCCAAATCATGGCAAAGGATGGTGTTTGAGAAATGGAAGATGCTTGTGTTGGTGGGGCTGGACCGGTCCTGATGCGTGCTATATTAACGGTGGACATTTTAATAACAGGATTCTTGTAAGTCTTCGATTACAATATTACTTCTTGTCTGTTTTGACAAATTTATTTGAATCAATAATATATACAGTGTATTAGAAAATGGTTATTGGTCATGATATTAAATATATTATATCATATAATTTTAGGCTGATTACTGTGAGAGACCATGTCATTACACCCATGATGTTCGTAATGCAACGTGTTTGAATCTCAGTTGGAGTGGAAGTGAAATAGGTAATAAATACGTAAACAGAAAGAGTAGTAAGTACAGTACAGTACTTTGCCTTTGCGATTTTTATATTTGTCATAATTTTTTATTATTAATTATTACGCAAAATGGCGCTTATAATTTTATGATTCTGTATGGGGCGGCCGTATAATCTTGCATTTAACTGATATGACTTTGAATGCATTCACACAGGGGGTACTTATTTCAGCATGTTACCACCCCCACCCCCTCCCCCTTCCACTTGTGAAAAAATCCTGCAGCGTACGGGCCGTACGATTACCTGATATTATTTTATCCCTTCTCCATTTGACCTGATATATCTTACTTACATATAGACAATCGTTATGTGAACTTCACTTTTATTTAATTTATCAGCTAAAAGAGGATTAAACGGAGAGATCATAGTCTAAAAGAAATTCTTCTAATTTAACTTTTAAAGGTGAGCACATTTAGGAAGATTTATGTTTACATAATTCACAATCTGCAGATGATGCATGTTTCGGCATTCTATGCCTCACATACGTGATAGGATTGTATTTATGCATATGGGCTTGCTTTCATCAAGCGCATGTGATACAATGTGATACAGTACGACGGTATCAACGCATCCAGACATGCGCAAAGTATAATGAGGTCAGATGGTTCAAACGACCACAAGAGAACCATTAACAACTCCACAGAGTGCTCAACAACACCGAAGTGAAGGAGGGTAACAGTACAATCTGCGGACCAATCCATGCACGTTTATCAGTGCAGCTTGGTACACGTCATATATGTATCATCATCAAGCAATTTGGTGGAAACGGTAGAATTACGCAATATCTTATATAGTGTAAGAGAATGCCCAGAGGAGATTGTTTAGTTAGTTAAATGGGAAAAACCCAGATCAATTTATGGAAAGATTGTATATATAGCCCTGGCAGACTACAACTAAATAGTGTTTACAAATTGCTTTAAATTTGTTCCCTCTTCTATATTCTTCTGTAGGATGAAAAGAGGGAAGAGTTCATTATTTTTTTAATTCAACTTTAACTGGTAGTAAAGATGGAAAATTGAATTGAAATATATTAGAGACAAGTTGTAAGAATACTTTGCAAATCGAGGTGTGGAAATTAATCAATAAATTAAGTTACTCGTCAACAAATTGCTTTTCGTATATTTCTGTCTCACTGCAACACTAGGGAATAACGATGCAGAGATGCTGATAAGCAATCTGTTGGTTGGAAGGTAGTAGTATTGAAAAGCATCCACACACACAACTGGGGTGAAACTGATAACTATAAATTTTAAAATATTTTCTTATGGCTTCTGGTAAAACTATTATTAAATATGTCCGCTTTTCGCAAGTATAGATAATATATTAAAAATTATAATAGAAATATTATACGGCCTACCCACCAGTCGAGACGCCATAGGCTCTGTAAAGGCAACCAGGAATAGCCCAATGGGTTAATGGTTTGACTTAAATAAAATTTATAGTTTTTATATGCATGTAACGGAGTAACGGAGTCTGAAGTAACGGAGTTTTGCTTTTGGACTTAAAAAGGGCTTTCGACACGTTCGATCACAAAATTATTTTGCGAGATGCAGTGAAAGGGACAGCATTATCAAGGATCAAATCTTGGTCCATGCAATACTGTTGTTTCTTAGAATTATATTATAAATTAAATAATGACGTATAAACAATGTCCTAACGTGGCTAACATGAAAAAACAGATACGCAGTTATTGAATCACGCAAAACATTAAGCAACCTATCATGTAATATTATAAAAATAGGTGCGTACCTATTATAAACAAAGAATGGTACCGTCTACTGGATTATAAACAAAGAATGGTGAATGATGAATGATAAAAGCATTTATCGTAAACAGTTCGGAAACTTTCGTAGATGCGCGGGTTTTAACTTAACCAAAGAGCCTGTTCGCAGGAGAAATTAACCGTCCACTGCATACATCTAAACTTCTTGTCGACAGCATATGGCGCAACTCGTACCCAGGATCTTTCTTGCATATGGCGATTACTGTTCCAGTAGACGCCAAAAATTAGCTGTATTTTTTATATGTTGAATTTTCTCTGAGGGACAGTTTCCCCTGTTGCTCCCCAGTGTGCGCGGCTCCGTTCGCAATGACTTCACACCTCCCTGCACAAAACAGTAATATTACTAATATTAAGTTAAGTTACTGATATTAATGAAGTGTTCATTGAAAGTCATGTTTACAAAACTACCCCAGTGGGTAGCTAGATAGACTACAATCCGTGCATGTGCAAAGGAAATCCTTCACGTAAACGCACGAAAAGTTTAAATTTTTCTAACTATAAGAATTCTGAATTGAAAATAATTTAAAAGTTTTAACAATAATTTAAAATTATTATATAATTTATAGTTAATATATTATTATATATTTTATAGTTAATATTTAAATAATAAAATCATTTAATCATTTTAAATAATCTAGTAACAGCGTTATTTGAGTGTAACCATTAGACGTTTTGCAAGATGCCGCTGCACATGTAACCTTGTCTCAGCCATTTTTTTGCCTGATTTTGATAAAAATACATTTCAGTTCTAAATTGCGTTGTTATTTCAATTATTTCTATAGTTCGCATATTTTTTCAATAAATTTGGTAGTTTATATACTGAGTAGCCAGTTTTGTGCATTACTCATTTTAGACAAAATATATCTCAAGTTTTTAATAAGCAAAACAAATTGCTGACCCATAAAGTTCACATCAACCTTTTATTTTCAACCATATTTCTACTTAATTTCATCCTTATCTCAGGGCGTATCAGTTGACTGCGTGGAAACGAGGTGACTCGCTTCGGAAAATCTGCAAAAACCGCGTGAGAAAAGACCTAGAACGAGGTTGAAACTATCTTTGAAAACTTTTTTTATCGAACAACCGAGCCGACCTGCGAATATATGTACGTTAGAGGATCACAGACTGACATGCACTGGAGTCTAGGATACACGAAATCCCACATCATACGTCATAACTTGCACGTATATCAACAAAGACATGCATGAATGAAGTTTAGTACTTCAACGAAGTGAAATAATTATAATTTGTCAGTTTCCCACCTGCCAATTATCTTTTTATCGCCGTGAACAACTGTTTTGAATGCCTCTATTAAATGTGGATTATTGTGGTTCTGACAATGTCTCATTTAGTCTAAAAATTACTTTATAACTATATTGGCCATTGCCATTGGGCATATTGGCCAAAATCAAAATTACAAGTTGAATGTTGCAGTGTTTAATTTAAAAACAAGCTGGTTGGATATATTGAACGCACTTAAAATTATAAAAATCTTTGTCTTTTAAAATGCAGATAGTCATAATGAATATGCAAATAACTATCCGGAAACAAATTCTTAGAGTGATTATATTTCACTATCCCATATTGCCACTATAAACAACGTTAACCGTATCGTAGTCGTAAGGTTTGTATGAAGCGCTTCTAGACTAAAGTTCAAATACATCATCTTCCGCATGTAAAATCTGGTCACATTAATTAAAGGAGAAAATGTCTGAGGAACAAATTACGATCATCAATTCAAAGGTGAGACGAAATGTTTAGCCAGATCTAGACAGAAGTATATTTAACTTCCTGCAATTCTATAATCAAGAAGAATGTCAATCCTTCCTTTTGAAACTGTATGTGTATTGTCTTTACAAACGCATGTATTTTTACGACATGAAGAAATAATTGTATTGAATCAGTTATTCAGTTAATATCAGTTCTACATTGAAAGTCCAAATTCAATAAGTAATGTTTACAAAACGAGCGGTTTGTGGCTCGTAGGCTATAGAGGTTTATTTAACCTTTTAACTTAGTGTTTAGGTCACAGAGCTGACAGAGGCTTACACTGTTTCGTTTATAAATTATAAAGTTGCATGCATCATGCATGTTACCTTGGTAACTAACTAATTTGTCTTGGTAATTCGGAATGGATAGGTATATGTTTTCAATTGATCGATGCTTTTATGCTATTCTATTCAATTGTTATGTATATGTAGACAATGTCTATGTATTCTTGGTTTGCACATGACGTCATGCGGCCATGTTAGAGAAACGCCAACAAAAGAACATCATTAGCAGCTATTGTATTTGGAACTCAGTTGTTTGGAAAGTTCTGCTTGTATTTTTTGTATGGTGTCAAAGATTTTCTAAATCAACGAATTGTTTTTCCGAGTTTTCGGAATGAATTTCTTGCTCGTTCATCGACGCAAAGATCAATATCTTTTCTCTTTGTTATTTTTTTTTCGGTTAGTATTTCGTCAGTAAAATCAGTTTAGGTTAAAAAACTCAGAGTTAAAACAAAACGCATTCTAAATGCATGTTTCTAATACTTTCTATCACTCTCATTTAAATCCATTTTAGCCCGCAGTTGATTTATTCATTTTAGCCCGCATAATATACCACAAAACGTATGAAGACCTTAATCTAAATGCATGTTTCCATCGACCTTATTCCAAATGCATTATTTCAAGACCTTATCTACAGTAATTGCGTGTTTCTATCACGCAGCTAATTTATTCATTTTAGCCCGCATAATATATCACAAAACTTATGAAGACCTTAGCCGGACTCTGCCTCACATCGTATAGCTAAGTGGAAGAGGGACATATAGTTCACATGCATGTATATCGTTTACCGGTACTTGGCGTTCTTGCATGGTTGGTTGCAGCCAACCAAGTGTCACAGCTGCCATTCGCTGAAAGCCTGGCGTATCTGAAGATTCGCTTCGAGAAAAATAATGTGAAAAGAAAATAATGTGAAAAGAAAACAAGATTCACAGGGACGAAACTTGAGGGGGGTATGGGGGGGGGTGACACCCCCAAAATACGTCTGGATTGGCAGAACGAATCATCTGGATTGGCAGGGCAATCAAAGATTTTAAATGATAGAATGTAGAGTTATTAAGTAACTTACAGGGCTTTCGGAGGGAATTGAGTAGAATTTATAGACCTAAATTTTACAGATTTTGGTCCAAAAATAAGGGTTTCACCCATGTTTTAACAGGAATTTGTACGGAAAAAATTTTTGACCCTTAATTTAACTGGTTTATGTCCGGAAAAATTTTTTCGACCCACCGCTCGCCAACATTTTTGGGAAAAATAGTGGCCAGAAACAGTAACAATTTGCTGCAGGACATCATCGGTTTTGGCAGGGCAATTCTGGCAGACACCCCCGGAATTAAAAGGGGCTAGTTTCGCCCCTGAAGATTCATGGCGAGAAAAAGTAAACCTGATTGCTTCAAATGAGTCTAGAAATAAAAGTAAAAATGCAAAATTTAATAAGCATGATGTGGACACATCCGTTTCAACTGACCATGAAAAGGATGTTTTGGCTGGTTGAATGCCAAGGTTTGAAAACGAAAATAAAAATCGTGTTGTTCGCACTGATGGTTGTTCGCTACAGGAAAGATCGATAACAATTTGTAAAAGATGCATGAGAATTGGACAGGGAAACAATGGTTCTAAAGACATTTTCATTTACCAGTGAAGCTTTCTGATCAACTAAGAATGGTGATCAGGACCCTGTGAAAAGACGGCTAGGGATGAACTTCAAAAATATTGTGTCCAACCAACTTTGACGGATTAATTGCTACACATATTACGCTGAGCCACTTAAGGGAGCGGTCATACAGTAACTGCTAGGATGGGCCGGAGGAAATAAGGATGGGCCATGAAATTATTTTCATCAGTTTGGGTGGGTCATCAATTTGTTTTTTGTGCAAATGGATGAGCCATGAAACACATATAGCCTGTTTGCACTCAATACATACTATAACTACTACACAACATTCCTATTAAAAGAATCAAATTCAATATAACTGACAAAAATAGATTTAAAGTGAATTCAAAATGAAATAAAAACATAATCCTGTTATTGTTAATAGTTCAGTTCAGTAATGGCATTAATATTTTGTCACATCTACCAGGCATTGATTTTTAAATATCCACATCACCCTTCCTCAGAATCAGATTCTAATGACATAGAGGTCGGACTGAGGAGATGATATTTCCAATGATTTTTTAACAAAAAATATTTTGACTTGTTACTTGTTTTTGTTTCTCCAATTGCTGCTATACTGTACATCAGTATTCATGTATAGCAGAAAGGGTCGTGGAATTTTTTCCAATGACCTACGATGGGCTTTGAAATTTTTTCTAGGCTCTCAGGATGAGCCATCGTTTTTTTTTGGAAAACCTATTTTTCCCTCCGGCCCACCTTAGCAGTTTATACTTTATGACCAGCCTACCAAATATTAAGCAATCGAAATATAATTGTGCAAATTTTATTTTATTGATATGTTGTAGTGATTTCACATTTTCACTTATTCGTAATTGTTGTAGTTCGTACAAATAATAACAACTTTTGAGCATTTCATTTTTGCTTCCAGTGTATATATAGCTATACCAATATCTCGGATCTGTATGACGAAGTTCTTCACATTCCCCCTATCGGACGTTCCGATCACCAATGTTTGATCTTACCACCCAAAACAAGACAGAAGATGCCCCCCGTTTCAAAGAAATATCGACAAATGAAACCAGAAAACTTAAACGTTCTGGGATTGAAACTGAATCTTGAAGACTGGGAGAAAATATATTCCGAATGGGATGTGGTTGACAAGGTCTCAGTCTTTAACTCTATCGTCATCTGTATGCTTGATGAAGCCATACCCGTGAGAACAGTTCGCGCACACTGTACGAACAAACCCCCAATATTAAAGCGTTGATAAAAGCAAGACAGAGAGCATTTCCGAAAGGGGAGACACCGAAGTATAAAGGTTTGCATGCAAAAGTCACCAAGCTGATGTCCAACGCTAAAGCTATACGTACTACAAATCCAAGGCTGAAGGCAGCCATCAATCCAATCCCGCCAAATGGTATATAACGATTTACAAGCTAGCGGCAGCAACCGAAGATCAACAATCTCTGTCCTCGCCTGACCACGCTGACTTAATGGCAATCGCTGACAGACTACAAAGAAGTTTTATTAAGCCTTGGCTAGACATTCAACCAGATCCTCCGAGACTTCATGCGGTAGAGCATTTGCTCAAGGACAGCCACCCACCTCTACCATCCATTGGCCAAATCAAAACCGTCCTAAAACACCTAAATCCTAGGAAAGCCACTGGGTCGGATAATATCCCTGCATGGTGTCTTAAACGGTACGCAGAAGAATTAGCACCAGTGGTCCACGATATTGTGGTTGCAAGCATAATTCAATGCAAATATCCCACCTCCTACAAACATGCAATCATCAGTCCCATACCAAAGATCCGTCCATCCACAGACCTAGATAGTGACTTCCGCCAAGTTTCCGTGCTGCCACAACTAGCAAAAGTTATCGAGAAGCTACAGCTCCAACTCAATAAATCCAGTTTCAAGATCAAAACAAACCAGCACGCCTTTACGAGCGGTCACTCAACCGTGTCTGCCCTTACCTCCATATCTCAGAACTGGTTCGACTCAACGGACAACTCCTCAACCGGTAGACAAGGTGTCCACGCCCTATTTGTTGATTTCCGGAAGGCGTTTGACTTGGTCGACCATAAGATCCTCCTGGACAAGCTTGCTGATATGAATGTAACAAGGAGTTTGGTTATGGATAATGAGTTTTCTGGAGGGAAGAACACAACAGGTAAATCTCCAAGGTGTACTATCCTTTATTGCATCATGCCCAGCCGTCGTCCCTCAGGGATCTGCTATCTCGCCGACCTTATTCAACATACATATTAACGATATGGAGGAAAATGTTTCTGAACAGGCATGTGTCAACACAACCAAATATGCGGACAATTGCACCATGGATACGTGCATAAGAACAGGAGAATCTAGCGATTTGCAAAGCGCTCTGGACTCAGTGCAAAGTTGAGCTGTGGAAAATAAGATGGAACTGAATGCCAAAAAGACAAAAGATATGTGGATTAACTTCACCGAAACACCGCCCCCTCTACCACTGCATATAGGAGATGCTATCATAGAAAGAGTCGATAATTTCAAACTCTTGGGAACCTGGTTTCAAAAGGATCTGAAATGGAATAAACATGTCGAGGAGACCACTCGCAAAGCAGCTAAAAACTTGTATTGCCTAAGAGAATGTAGAAGAGCGAACCTACCAGTCGAAGTGGGTCTCACCACTTATTTAACTAAAATCAGGCCTATCCTTGAATATTGTTCTCCAGTGTGGGGTGGTCTGCTACGATATCTAAAGGACGATTTGGAACGTGTGCAAAGGAGGAGTCTACGAATTATTGGCCTCCCGCATGGTTACCTGCCAACTCTCGAAGTGAGAAGAATTGAAGCCACATCGAGATAACTCGATACTATCTTAGGTGATCCAAGTCATAATTATCTTTTATCAACGAATCAACGAACTAGCTATGGAACATAATAAACATAACTATAATCTTAGGCGTAGAGACGGTATATTTAAATACGCACCTTTTTCAGGCACTGAACGACACAGAAATAGTTTTATCCCATGAGCAATGAGACAGGGGTTGCATTAAAACTTAACTTGGTTTTTATTAACTTTTACTAATTCCCTAGACTTTTAAATTTTTACTCCAAATTGTACATATAAAAATTTCCGATAGTTTGTAAATATTATTGCATACCTAGTTATGCTCTTCTCTTTTAATAGACATTGTTGTAAATCCATTGTATTTTTAAACTAAAGATGGATCAATAAAATCATCATCACTATCATAATTAAAAATTATTTATTAATGCATGTCTACTAATTAACAAATATAAAACATTTTCCGTGTTGATATACAGTTATATCAACACGACGCCCGAAGGGCGGAGAGTTTTCACACAATTTTGAGTTTTCCCAATTTCCACGAGTGTTGATATAACTGTATATCAATACGGAAAAAAATGTTTTATATTTGTTTTATAATATAGCACAAAGAAACATAAAGAAAGAAATTTTCCGACGTTTCCGTGTTGACATTGAGTTATATCAACAAGGTCTTAGCCAATCAGCGTTCAGAATTTACAAATGCTATATTATAATTTCAAATATCACTTTTGTCAGATAACTGATAATTCATCTCTAAATATTCCGAATAAACATCCAATTCCTTTACCCTTACTAGCTGCAGGTGATAGTTAAAAATATTTATCTTTTAATTAAAAAACCTAGAAAGAGTATGACGACCTGGTTTCAAGCACATCTGACGGCTTGATAGTGGTGGATTTCTATGCAGACTGGTGTGGTCCATGCAGACAAATTGCTCCTGTATACAAGGCAAGTATAGCACTGATACACTTATTCCATCCTTAAATCAAATCAAATCAATTTTATTTCACACGTTTACAAAAGATATAGTTAGACATTAATTACATCACAAAAAAATCATAATGGAAGGGGGAAAAAAAGGGAGTTAATTATGGTATTATATCGTGTACAGTGGCCAAAGTAGCTGAGAAGCTTTCGAGTTGGATGCTCAGTTTGCGAACTTAGGTAATCCCAGTGACACCGCCAGGATTTTATTTTGGAGTTGCAACTTAACAATTTGTGTGTCACAATTTTAGGGGATCCAGGGACATACTACCCCAGGAAAAATGAATTTTGAGGCTCTGAAACAGCATTTCCTGCATAGTGAAGGCAATTGGAGAAAAATGTATATGTCTTAATAAATTACCTTTTAACAGTGTCAATATTGACACTGCTAAATAAGACATTGGAGGGAGACGTCACTAGTTTATTAAATATTTATTTCAAGTCCACAGCGATACAAAAACAACATACAGTACTAAGCGTTACAATAAGACTGTCTGTACCAGTGTGGGTATAGTACCAATGTGAAATTGCTGTGTTGAGTGGTTATATTACTGCCTGAAATAAACAAGCAGAAACTCGACGTTTCGAGCGAAAGCTACTAACTCTTGACGAAGGGCCTTCGCTCGAAACGTCGAGTTTCTGCTTGTTTATTACAGGTAGTAATATAACCACTCAGGACAGCAGCTTTATTTCAGGTATAGTAATATAATTCACAAGCTCACTGCGACTCCTTTAATCCAATCACAATGCTCGACAGTTTAGATGCAAGCACTCGCAGCGAGCTTGCGAGTTGTTTTTTTGCAATGAGTGGAAAAGAGCCTTAAGGCGGATCTCCACTAGACGATTTTTGAGACGATCGTCAAAACAGTTAGCGACGACACATGTGCAATTGTCAATTGGAAAAAATGTTCGAAGAGCGATCGTCTAGCGCTCGACGAAAAGTAGGATTGTCTTCTACTTAAAGTCAATCCCAAGAGTCAATCCTACTTTTCGTCGAGCGCCAGATGATCGCCAAATTTTTAACCAATAAGATTCCGCGCTTTTTTCTTGCTGCAAGAACATCTCCACTTCTCTCTAAATCGTTGCGAATTTTTATGACGATCGTCATAAAAATAGTCTCAAAAATGTCCAGAAGCAAAATCAAAGTCTAAGGTCGTAACTTGCCTTTTTGCGCAGATTGTATTCTGAACTGAACTGATTATACGACACATCACTTGGTTTCAAATAAAAAAAGTTTGAAATCAGAGGCCAGAGAAGGCCTGCGATTTCGAGGTTAATTACACATGATGCGAAAATGACATCATATTAATTTGACCACTACAGTAGTAACATTTTCACAGTAGTAACGTTTTACCGTCATACTTTATATTTATAGCGGTTTTCAAAAGAATTTAAAAAGGTCAAGTTTGCTTCTGTCGATGTTGATGAGCATGAGGTACGTAATGATGTTATTTGTATTGTACAATGTACAGCATGTAGTATTTTGTTTGTGGTGTTATGTACTCAAGTGAAGTTATATTTGAGATGATGCTCTCTGAGTATATTTAAGATGATGCTCTTTGGGTGTGTTCACACCGGGCAATCTGAAAATTTTGTTTGACTGCAGTGGAAATCTAACCCGTGACCCATGACCTTTGGTTTGCTAGTTTAATACTCTACCGACTGAGCTACGTACAAGATCAAGTTGGGTTCAAGTAATATATGTTTATGAAATTTGTACTGTCTGTTTGAATCACGTGTGTGTGAAAATTCAGATTTTAAAGGATTTTAGAGTACACTAAGGAGTAATTAATTTATATATGGAATGTATATTGCATTATAAAAATTTTTGAATATCACACATTATGGAAAACTGATTATTGTCGTAATTGCCTGTGTCTGAGCAACTGGTACTTCTCAAATTCAACAAGTAGCGTGTTCACTTTTGGGCGTTAAGCATCCAACTTTGGAGCATCCAACTTTGGAGCATCCAACTTTGGAGCATCCAACTTTGAGCATCCAACTTTACCATCTCTCTACGTTTCTGGCGTTGGTTTCAAGAACGGGCGTTGCCCAAAGATTCAACAACTGAAAACACTTTGTGTCGTCAAAAGACAACAGAAAGTCAGGTTACTGATTTAAGGAAGGCCGTTTATGTACACCAGAAAAAGTTATTCCAAGTATTAATCCTTGAGGAACACCGGAAGAGACTGGAAGCGTCTCCGAAATCTCAGGATTGAGTATACACGCTGTTATTGTCCTGCTAAATTAAACCATTTTAAAATATTGCCTGTAGATCCAAATAGACAGTTTAGAAGAAGTTTATGGTCCACAATTCCAAAGTTATGCTGTCAATTTAAAACAATCGTATAAGGTTTGGACTAGTATGATAAAGGACAGAGAGGAGCTAGCCTATGCACGATTATCCTTCTCATAAGACCATGCTGTGCAACGATTATTTTCTCAATATGACCCATCAAACAACTATGGCAACTACGTTCTAAAACTTTGGCAACGCACATAAGAGAAACTGATCTGTAATTTTGTATTTTCATCAGCTTCTTCTAAAACTATATTTAGTTGAAATATCAATTGAAAATGTTGGCAGCTTGCTTTTGTATGTTGAAATTTAACTTGCACGGGGAGTATGTTGCTGTGGAATACGACTGGATTTGGTGGTTGGTTTTAAAAACGACCAGAAGAGTTTTAATTTGGGTTTGAGGGCAGAATTTCGCCTGTAAAACAAAAGATATTTTCACGACCTTTTTCATTAACCTTTTCCAAGTTAGAATTTGTGTGTTGGATTTTTCGTCGCAGTGTTTTTTTTCCCTTTTTTTTAGTTAGCGATAAAATGTGACCAGTCGTGCAACCAGGTGCATGGACCTTCCTTTGACCGTCTTTCCTGGAATACATTTATCAGCTATGGCATAAAAAGTTTCTTTCGGCAATAAAATCTAGTTCAGTATGGTTGATGTCCAATGTCAAGTTACCATTAATAAATTCGAATTCAATCACTTTAAACGTTCGGTTCATTTCTTGAAAATCTGCACGGTTGTAATTATTGCATACCGATCTTCTGAGTTTTGGGGAAGCTGTTGATTCTGAACATTTTCTTTAATATATATACCTTTAAGTTTAAACGTGCAACAATGGTGCATGGTATACAATATAAGAATTTGCAAAGAAGAACTAGCCTCGACACACTGAGTGATATAAGACTCAAGTAGAATTTATAGAAAAAAGTTCTAGTTGCAAGGATGAAGAACACCATAAAGTTATCCACTCATTTTACGCACAAACGTTTTCGTTTTTGTTAAAGCTCCTCAGGTGCTAAATGCATGACAATGAGTGCATGGTCCTTAGTATATAATATATACTAAATAGCAAAACAATTTGACTACCGCTAAAAATTGAAGGTATAAGAAGAGTTACAGTTCTCCCTTGACTTAGCATATTTTATTTGTTTTGTGTTATTTCCAACGTGGTTCTAATTTTCGGTTTGAATGCGTAGCCTGAATTGTTGAAGGTTTGGGACCATGGGTATAACCTAGCCGAAAGTATCAGTTGCTCAAACACGGGCCTCCATGGCAAAAATCATTTGAAAATCGTTTGACATTTGTTGATATTGTGAAAAGTTTTACATCATACTCCAAATATACATCACGGAATGGGTGCAATATCAATTCCATGAAATCAGTAATAATACATTGGCCATATATATGTGATGTGGGAGGGAAACCCGGCCCAATTACAAAAGCTCCACGTAATATATAAAAAAAACCCAATATAAAACGGATAATGTTAGTCGTCTTAATTAAATCCTTCACCAACATATGGCCTTGTTAAACAAGCTAAGAATACAAACTAGAGATAAATTCTGAACAATGTCAATGCATTTTCTGATTTTTAGGATATAGCAGAAAATGAAGGAGTAACAGTCATGCCTGTTTTCAGATTTTACAAACTCGGACAAATGGTAATATGAACCGTGAAATCACTGATATGTATAGATAGCCCACAGCTACACAGGGCTAGCTAGGCGGCTGCGCATGCGCATGATATCCGTCGTTTCCATATCACATTATCCCTGTTTGTTCCTAGAAATATCTTGTGAATTTGCTCCTTATAATACTTAATACCAACTGAATACTTAACTTGGGTTATGCTTTTCAATGTTTAGATCGACCAAGTGACTGGTGCTAATAAAGAGCAGCTTCGTGAAAAACTAGAAATGTACCAATAACTGCGTAAAATACTGTATAATATATCACTCTAACATAAAATATACTTATATAGTATAATTATTATATCATTCTAACACGAAATATCTATTAACCATTAATATGTATAATAAATGTAAGTTTTTTTCAATGAATTTGTTTCTTATTGAGGGTCAGAGATTGAGGGTCAAGCTTTCAATAAGTTTGGGAATAATTTGCATATATGGCGCTGACCGCCCGGCTATTTACATCCGAGTAGAGGAGAACACTGAGCTATGTAAAAACTTATGCGATCAACGGTATCGTAGGTTATGCACATGCGCTAATGCAACCGGCCGACAATGGATGGTAACTACTAAAATATATATTCCCAAGTCGAGGGAGAGATCCTGACAGCGGAATTCACGACTTCTAGCCTGAAGATGCTTTAATTTGAATACTAAAACTGTCTGTACCAGTGTAGGTAGTACCAATGTGAAAATGCTGTGCTGAGTGGTTATATTACTACCTTAAAAAACAAGCAGAAACTCGACGTTTCGAGCGAAGGCCCTTCGTCAAGAGTTAGCAGCCAAACTAACTCTACTAACGCCACTAACTCTTGACGAAGGGTCTTCGCTCGAAACGTCGAGTTTCTGCTTGTCTTTTTATTTTGAATACCAAATTTCAACAAACACAAAACACTAAACCCCTCCTAGTAAACCCCCAGAACCTTCAAAGATGACGGAACTACTAACCAGACCATGATCAGTCGTAAAAGTCGTTTTTGTGGTCCATTTCAAAATGGAAAGTAAGCCTTCGTTGTTACAGATCAGTACTCCCGTTACCACAAGCTAGAATTCACCACCACATCGTTCGAAGTAACCAATTAGATGGAAAGATTTAATAAGCTCATCAACAAGATAATGGCTATATCGAAGCAAGACAGCATCGACTCTACTACATGCTAGAAGCGTACCAAAATACTCCACAGCCAGTAACAGACTTCTCTGCACCCTAGCTATTCAGAAACTGTTATTCATGAAGCGAGACGTGAGGGCACAGTTGGACCACTCGATCCCCACCCGAAACCCAAGAGCACGACAAGACAAAATAAGAACACGACTCGCACTACAAGAGAAAATGCATAGAACACCACGACAAACGACACAAGGCAACGACACACGCCAAGAAACAAACACGAAATTCAAACATTGTACGAAGCATGCGTGTACGTTATTACCGAGACGAAAGGCTCACAGATTACAGCAAAGAGAATTGAAGATCGACGAACAAACATGAGAGATGCAAGCAAATTTACACCCATTCATACAGAAAGGAGCTGACCAGTAACCGCGAAGTTAAAAAATACAGAAATGGAGGAAAGCCAGCCCATCTCGAAACCCGACACCACGAATGACCACAAACCCAGATACACTTGCCACTGAAAATGTCGCACCCATATCAACTACTAACAAACGAAACCATACAAGAACAGCCAAATCCATCATCACCAAAACCACCAAAACCACAACTCAAAAGATCTGAACATTTCAACATTTGAAGATGAAACACAAGCAGAATAAGAACAAACATTATCGAGGATGCATGGGGAGAGATGTGCATGCAGTATTCCGATCCAAGACACGAGGATCTCCCAGGGGGTCTGTGTTCATTTTAAATTTTTCCTTTGCTCCCTTGACCCCCACAAAGACTTCACCATATTGCCTTGTCCCTATGTTATCTTTTTTACTTTATTCTCTTGTTCCCATTGCAAAATACGCCTTGTTCCCTTTACCTAGAAACTCCCTGGGAAACGTATAATTTATGTATGTATATATGCAAATTAATCATTTGTACATCAAAATTTATAAAATATTCACTGCTGAAAAATTACTATATATCTCAATGAAATTTGCTCTAACATATACATATACATACTGTAGTTAATTTTACCTCAAAAGGTTGTCACTATATAGTCTATATATATTCGAATAATTCCTATATATATATATATATATATATATATATATATATATATATATATATATATATATATATATATATATATATATATATATATATATATATATAGCCAGTTTACGTTCTTAAATTGATTATAAGAAAATCATTTCTTGTTGAAAATGTCTACATTTCACTCAAATTTTTTCTGAACATTCTTGGAATAAATTGACGATATATAATCCTGTATTCTTTGTTTCGTGCGCTGTATATTATTGGATTCATTACAGAATTTGCACCCATCAGCATTGTAAAAAACATTGTAACACTGACGGAGATACAAACCTCTTTGCAAACATATTGTTGTACCAGTGATATTATTACTCTAGGAAACATAAAGAAAACTAATACAAAAAGAACAATAGCAAATGTTTTTATCATCTTCATTTGTTGTAAATGATCTCTCCGTCTCGCGGCATCTTGAGTAGTTCCTGTTGCTCCTGGTTCTTCAGCCGTAAAACTTTCTCCTCTTATTTTTCTTCTCTGGATTTTCGCTACTTTGTAGATTTTATAGTTCAAGATGAAAAATCCAACCAATGGTATATAAATGTTAAAGATGGTTTGTATCTTTCCTAAATATTTATTTTTCATCATACAAGAAAGCCTCCGTCCGCTTACTTCTTCCATGTTATAATACACAAGATTTGCATTCACGATTGCTAAAAGCCACATTACAGTCAAGAAAATGTAGGTTCTGTTCCATGTCATTATTCTGGAATATTTCAATGGTTTTGTGATGAATAAACATCTATCTATAGTTATAGCCAGCAGGTTTGCTATAGATAGTGCAATGCTTGTACATGAACTGGTCAGAGCAATTTTACAAATCAATTTGTGGTTATTTTCTTTATCAGTCAATATTGATATGAACTCGAATATCCAGGGAGGAAAGAAAGTGAGACAGACAAGGATATCAGAAATTGCCAAATTCATCACAAAATATGTTGTTGGAGTTTTCGAGTGATTCCTGAAGATGTTATAAACTATTACTCCGACATTTCCCAACATGCCAACAATGACGCACAAACAGTCAAAGCAAATGAGTGCAATGAAAAATCCTGCGGATGGAAAGTGTTCATCAGCTGAATTTGTTTCGCTCATTGATTTTTCCTTCTTGACAACAACTGGAAGACTTTTAATATAATAGTTTTGTTTGTGGAAGACTTTTATCACCTACACTCATTGACAATCCCAATGCACGCACTCAATAGAAATGATCAACTGTGCTCACTGTGGATATATATATACTGATGCATGGATTTTGGGCAAGTTAATTGAGAATGAATTTGCATGGAAACGCAGGTGCATGACATCCGGATGTTAACTTAAAACACTAAAGAAATACTGCAACGTCTTCATTAGTTATACTTTTATTAAATCTGATCAAGTATAATATATCAATAAAGCATGGTCGGATGATGCAAGTTTTATAAGCGAAATATTACCTTTTAATTAAACTTATACCTTGTATTATATAATATCGATAAATAGTATCGATATACATGAAAAAATTCTGATAGCTGAAAGAAGAGCAGTTTCGTTAAAATACAGTGTCAAAAATGTATTTCAGGCGTCAAAAGCTGTAATTCTATAGGTGAATTTATACAAAAGACTTTTAAGATTTGGGAAAACGTGTTTTTTAATATAAACATTCAGAAACATAATAGAAACATTTCTGTAAATGTTAATTTTTTATTAATATCTTAGGGCGCTTTCCATTTAACAGCCTGACCGGTCAGATCCGAATTTTGGTCTCTGTATCAATGGAAAGATCTGCATGCAAGTCTATGTTTCTGAAATATCTAGCGAAAATGTTCTCTAATTTTATCCAAATTTTCCGGTCAGATAGGTTTGAAGCCCAAATTTAAACGTTTTGTGTTCCATTCAACAATTTGACCGTTCTTTACAATTATAGAAGGCTTGTAATTCTGACATGCATCTGATTCTAACTCGATTTCTTAGACATTTTCAATTCAGGATTCCTTTACGTTTTCAAGGATTGTAGGCTAGGTAGATTGAAAAGACTATATTTAGACGATATTAATAGACCATGAACAGAACATTTCAAGAAGGGTATAGAGATATTTTAGAATAATTACAGTAATTTTAGTTATAACTCCTTCATTTCAAGGAGATTGCCAGCCTGGTTAGGTTGGGAGTTTACTAGTCTTGCTCTCCAACTGATCACTGAAAATATTACCATATATAAATAAATGAAAACATTGAGCAGTTATTACTATTTACACGTATTATTATACAGTACCTGCAGGCTGCATGCATGCAACAATTAAGAGGAGAAAATGAACGTTTATGTAATACGGCAGACAACTATAACGGCAAACTTCAAATCGTAGCCTATGTGAAGGTGAGTTTTACAAGTTTTCAAAAGCTAAGAACTTAATTCATGCTTCAATTTTAATGCAAAAATTGTCCTAACTTCGAACAGCTATAACAGTTTACTTCGAAATACGACTCGAAATTTGCCATTTGCGGTCTGCCGTCAACGTCAATCTGCATGTAACTGCATGTGCATGTCTCATATCATCTGCCGCCACCCTAATTGTTGCTTTTCATAATAAATTTGTTTTTAATGAGTAACTCTTATGAAATTGATATTAATATTTATTATCAAAGCATAAACCACTTGAGATCGTCATTAATAGAAATGTGTGTGCAGAATATAGTTATTAAAAACCAATTCTGTATATTTGAAAATGCGCATTGGGGGATAAAAACATAAAATGTTCCAGCTCGCTCGCTTGGATATTGAAGGAACAAAAACCTGGCTTCGTTAACTGTTATACAACACAGAACACTCCCGTCGAGAGAAAACTGTTATTGAAGTTTACGTAGTCAATATAGAATGCGTGAATTAACAAACACAACTGCTGAACACCTTCCACCTGCAGAATTTTTCATAGCACTTATTCTTTTTGCCAGTCTGTGCATCATTGTTGGCATTCTAGGGAATGTCGGAGTAATTGTTTACAACATCTTCATGAATCAGTCGAAAACTCCAACAACATATTTCTTGGTAAATTTAGCAGTTTCTGATATCCTTGTCTGTGTCACTTACTTTCCTCCCTGGATATTCGAGTTCATATCAGTACTGACTGAGAAAGAAAATACTCGCATATTGATTTGCCAAATTCGTATTACCAGTTCGTATACAAGCATTGCGCTATCTATTGCAAACCTTCTGGCTATAACTATGGATAGATGTTTATTCATCACAAAACCGTTGAAATACCCAAGCATAATCACTTGGAAAAGAACTTACATTTTGTTAGCAGTAATGTGGCTTTTAGCAATCGTGAATGCAAATGATATCTTTTTCAACATTGAAAAAGCACCGGAAGGGACACTTTATTGTATAATGAAGAATGGATCTTTTGGAAAGATCCTGCCCATTTTTCATTTCTACATACCATTTGGTGGAGTTTTCTTGTTGAACTATAAAATCTACAATGTAGTGAAAATTCAGAGACGAAAAATAAGAGAAAATTGTACAGCCCAAGAACCGGTTGAAGGTACAGAAACTGCTAAAAACGCCACAGGACGGAGAGAACATTTACAACAGATGAAGATGATAAAAACATTTGCTATTGTTCTTGGTGTGTTGCTTGCATGTTTATTTCCTCGAATAGTAATATCAATACTAAACCGTGTTTGTCAAAATTTTTGTATACCCATTAGTGTAAAAACGTCAGTTACAATGCTCGCGGGTGCAAATTCTGTAATGAATCCATTAATATGGATAAATAGGGTAAATCGTCAGGGGTAAATCAACAACAACACAACTGTTGGAGGTATACCAAGACATCATGGAATCTGTTGTTAGTGGTAAAGAAGTTGATGCCATATACCTCGATCTGTCAAAAGCTTTTGACAGAGTACCACATAATTTGCTCTTGCAGAAACTTGAGAATTCTGGGATCAGTGGGTCTCTCCTATCTTGGTATAAAAGCTACCTCAGTGATAGGCGACAACGAGTTGTTCTTCATGGTGTCTGTTCTGACTGGCTTCCGGTTACGTCTGGTGTGCCGCAAGGCTCTATACTTGGTCCGCTACTGTTTCTTGTTTATTGCAACGACGTCCAAGATTACATTCAGGCTGAATCAACGCTCGCACTCTTCGCTGACGACTCCAAACTTTTCACATCTCTTCATCTTCCTACTTCTTGTAGTTCTCTCCAAGACAACCTTAACAACCTTCTCAAATGGAGCGTTGATATGAAAATGAAATTCAACCCAAAGAAATGTAAAGTCATGCACATCTCGAGAAAGAAATTAGCGAACAAACACCAGTACAACCTCGATGGTCAGTTACTTGAACAAGTCACAAATATCAAGGACCTCGGTATCACTGTTTCCAGTAATCTTTCTTGGTCAAAGCAAATCGAAGTCACTGCAGCGAAAGCCAACAAAACTCTTGGACTCATCAAAAGAATCTGCAGAGACATAAATTACTGCGCCACAAGAAGACTACTGTACTGCTCTCTCGTTAGGCCTAAGTTGGAATACGCTAGTAATGTGTGGTCACCTAGCACTGTCAACCGGTCACTAATCGAGAATATTCAGCGACGAGCGACTAAGTTTATCTTGAACTATCCCAAAAATATGTCCTATCAAGAAAGACTGATAAAAACGAACCTCCTTCCACTCGAATTCCGCAGAGAAATCTTGGACTTGCAATTGTTTTACAAATCAAAAAATAGACTCATACCTATGGATGTGAATAATTATTTACGTACCTATGATCCAGGCTATAAATCACGTCATTACGACGAAAATAATTTCTATTTTATTACCAAACATAAGCAGGACTACTTCAGGAATTCGTTTTTTGTAAGGTCAGCAAATCTGTGGAACAGCCTCTCATCGCAACTTAAGAGTTGTACATCAATATCTGTATTCAGTTCCAGACTACGTAAAATGTATAAAGAACGACTGCTATTTTACAGCCCTCCTGGCTGTTCTTAACTTTATAATATCCTATGGCATGGTTTCCTATTCAATTGTAATGTGTTTGGTAGATGTATAGTCATTTATTAGGAGTTAGGTGTCAATTGGGACGCAAGTCCTGTTCCTCTCTCCAGTCACACCTATGTTGTATTTTTGCATGTTCTATACTAGTGTCAGTAATCTTGTTTGTATGTAAATGAATTGTGACAAATCAAATTAAATTAAATCAAATTAAATATACAGCGCACGAAACAAGGAATACAGAGTTGCATATCGTAAATTAATCTTAGGATTGTTCAGAAATAACTGAAATGTCATTATATATATGTAGATTGTATAGTATTAAAACTATAAAAAGTAATGAAAAACATGCAAGGCAATGTAAAAGTAACTAAAGGTTGATATTTAACATAAAACAATACGTATGCATGCATGCAACGCAAAAAAAAACAAATACAGGATTGGATATCGTCAATTCATCTCACGATTGCTCAGAATTAGCTGAAATGTAATGATACTACACTTGTAGTATCGAAAGCAATGACGTGCTCCAGTATTATACAATCATCAATTTATCATGAGCCGTTAGGAATAATGTAAGTGGTGCAGTTGCCAAAGCAAAACAATTCGTTATCATATTCCCCAAACATGCAGGCAGCAAACAGAACCTGTGACAACACAAATACTATATCCTGCAGGCTAGGAAACCATATTACAGTATATAGAATCGGTTTGTAGGCCTATCATCAACTCGTGGAATGAAGGTAACTGTCAAATGATAACTATATGCAGCAAAAGTATCGACATTAAGGAACAGTTATAGAAAATTTCTGCGATAATGCAAAATTAACGGATGTACATGTACTTACAGTGTAGGAGTAAAACTATATATAAGAGTATAAATAAAACCAATACTGAAACTTCGTAAATAATTGAGTTATGGACATAATGAAAATATAATTTGTTCACAGATAAATTTCAAAAATTCATGTGTACTGCCCCCATGCAAGTACGAATTAAGTCAGGCACTACGTTATGCTCGGTGCAGCGGGTGCACGCCATTATATAACAATGCAACAACATTTTAAATAGAAAGAAAGGCGAAGAAAACTTGCTTGCCCCGATTCATATAGATATATTGACTTACTATTTTTGTCTCCCCAGGGAATAATTATGGTTGTTTCCATGGGGACAGAAAGCATTTCAGTGTTTCTTCATTAACCGCCATCTTTATTTCAATTTGCGAGCAGCCAACGTCCATACAAAATATAGAAGTGGAATAATTAAATAAAAATGGTTTTCTTCTAACCTTGGTTGATGAGTAATTTATACACAATTCTTTACTCTATGCTCTCATTTATGTCTTTATCTAAAAGTTTTAATACAACTCTACGATAATTTATTCATGAGTCTGAGATACTATATTTACCACACTATACATTTTAATATTCGTGTATATTTCCATTTAAATATAACTTAGAACGTTTGTTTGTTGTCACTGGCAATGGTAGTTGTTTTGATCTTCGGGCATCAAGTTTCGCCTAGAAACAAGAACTCATATTTAAATTCTGTTAAAATTAAAATACAAAAGAATAGGTTTATTGGAGATTATTTTTCACATTGCTCGGTTTCCTTTGTTCTTATCGGGGAATATATTCAATATTCCCCTCAACCTGTAGTGTCTTTGCAGCACAAAAAATGAGAAAAAAACAACATCACGAAGGCAATATGGCATTAAGAATTATTTCTATTCCGACTCATTAACGCGACCTCGTGCAATGTGAAAAATAAGTACGTCATTTTGAGGCACCTCGGGGATATGTGTTTATTCTTGAATAAATCACATATCCCCTCGTTGCCTCAAAATAACCTATACTTAACATATACTGTAGCTGTTGTGATGGTAAAAGAGCAGCATAAAGAGCAAGGATCCACCCTTTCAACTAGGAAAGGATTACTTAAAGAGTTTGTGGAAACTCTATTATAGAAGCATCCTCTGCACATGATTACGATTAGCATTTCTATAGCGCATATTTATATGTGCATGGATATGATCAATTGTGCTTTACATCAAGTATCATAAGCTTACCTAATTATATACTTAGCCTAGATTATTTTATCTTTACAACAGTTGTTGTATTATTTTCTCAACTGTGTTTATCCTAACCTACCCTGTCAACTTTCCCTGTTGGAGGAAACCGGAGCAGCCGGAGAAAACCCACGACTTTCGGCAGAGCGTTGACTGACTCTTTTCACATGAGTCCGTAGCGAGACTGCGGAATTATCAATTATCCCCCCACGATCCCTGTTACCACCTTCATGGGTAACACATTGCGTAGTTCAGCCGTTTGCCACCGAATTGCCTGCACAGGGTAATTTGAAAGTTCATAATGGTCAGCGGTACTGTATGGATAATTACAGCTAGTACACCCAGCATACAGCTTTTGGCGCCCTATGAAAAGAGGCGCCCTACGGAATATATTTGATAAGGTACAGTACTTAATAAGTAATACATATATCACTGGAAAATAAAATTATGTGGAACAAAACAAGTTCTCTAGTTTGATCGGTTAGGTTTATATGCACTGCATTGACTGAGCTGCTTTTGCAGAAATACCACGTCCATCTCAAAATTTTTGGTGTTTATTTATAACCATGCTAGAGGACGTCCCAATCCACTTACCTTATTATAAAATAATACACCAAGAATGGCTACCATCATTCCATAAATATTTACAATAGTTACTGGATTCTTGAGAACCAATAATGAAACCGTAATAACTAAAATTCTCTTTGCAGCTGTACAAACTGAATAACTTAATGGAGAGACAAGACTAAGAACGGTAAATGAAACCATGCTTTGGGCGAAGTTCAGAATACCACTGACCAGCAGGGATCCCACAACCCAAAATGCATCGGTATTCTTTTCATCATTCTGAAAGTAAACACAAACACTAGCTAAGCAAAATGTAGTAGGAATTGGAGGAATGCAAAAACCTCGATATATACATGAACATGAGCATTGAAATGTTATTACTGTAGTTCAATTTGTCTATATAACTCCTCCACTCCTTTTGCATGAGTACTGCACGTATATATCGAAATTAACAAGTAATGTATATATATAAAGCATACTTACTAGATTTGTCATTTTCATGACATCGACGTAATCATAATAAATCCAAAATGGAATAAGAGATATAACGGAAACTTTTGAAATTTCTAGTAATAGTCTGAGATGATTCATTTCTAAACTTTCTAAAACCTGAAAAGAATAGAACCATTTGAAATCATTTGAAACCGAATAGACTTATATACTGTAGACTTTCGCTGACAGATTTTAGACTATCGCGACCTTCCGCTGAGCGGTTTTTAGATATTTGATAAATACTCATCAGTATTACAGTATATTCCCCAGACCCAGTACTGGACGTTGTAACTTGAGTAGCATGATATTTGCTGTGTTGGTGTGATGTACTCAGGTGAATAAGATGCTTGTGATGTTACTCTGAGTGTATATATCCACACCGGGCAGGCTTGAAAAATATGCCTGGCCACGGTGGGATTCGAACCTACGACCTTTGGAATACTAGTCCAATGCTCTGCCAACTGAGCCACGCGGTCATTTGAACTTACACAATTGAACGACTGGACAGATATTTTACTACAACTTTCGTATTTATAAATAACGCAATGCCATTCAATGAGCATACAGGTATAGCATGTATATATTACCAAAACCGTGGATGCTGCCTCTAGCTTAAAAGGACGCTTCTTCTTCCTTCGGAATCCTTCCTTTTGTGTCAAAACATTCCGGAATACGAAAAGAGTACACTCCTACGCCCATTAGTGTTAAAAAAAATCAAACTACAGTATTATCAGCACAGTCGTCTCAGCAGAAGCTTTTGCTGACCAATCAGACATCGCCATAACCAACATGTCGGTTTCACTGCATCAGGAATGTACTGTAGGTACACTCCTCGATATTTTGACGTGAAAACATAATGTGCTTTTTCGGGAGGGAGGATGCATCCATAGTTTTGGTAACAGCACCACATCAGTATCCAGGCGCTTATTACTGTAATAACGAACTACAGGAAATACCAATCTAATATATACTCCATGTAAAGTGAAGGGTATATAATAGACGGATGTGAAATACTCAAGCAATTATTCTCTCGGGCGCATAGCCATAGGGAGAACGTCTGTGAATCAACACCGCGGTCCAACATAGTCAAAAGACTGGGAATAGTATAAAGTAAATTACGAGAATGTAAACTCAGTATAACTTCAGTCTTCTTGTTGCAAGGAAAAAGCGATGAAATTAATTCCTGAGCCGATTATGCCTTTGGCGTTTCCTTATAGTAAACGCTTTTCGTTTTCCGTATTGACTCCTGTTATTTTGGCAGACATTTTCCCCGGCATTTTCGTAGACTCGCGCATGCGTTTTCAGTTGAACGCGGTATTCATATTATTTTTCAATCTGTACTAAATGTTTTCAGTACATTAGCCTCCACTATTTCTTGTTTTATACACGGAGTTTATTAAAAAAGCGATGGAAATCTATTTAAATATGCAGGCGTGAAGGTATTGTTTACGTGATATTTTACAATTTATACTAGTTATGGACAATCAGAAGTCTATCCACAATTAAATTCGTGGAAGATCCACCGGCATAATCCACGTGCCCTGCAAAAGGAATGCTAATCCGATTCACAGACGCTCTCCCCAAGAAAACTCCCGTGGCCGTGCACATGCTAACGAGCACAATGCCCCTATATAACCTTCTTGCCAATTCCAAGACGCAAACGGGCACAATGCCGCTTAACGAGTTAATATCTTCGAAATAAAATATTACCATATCGACGTACCTTTTTTGAATAAATATTTTGTAATGCAAAACAAATAGTAGACATCAGAGCACTTATGAGTCCAACAATATGAAATGAAATTTCTGTCATTGTTGCAATTGTAACACCGCATATGATTGGAATGAGTGAAAAATACACCTGAAGAAATTAATTATTATATAAAAACACGGTAATTTTTCTAGGTGTGGGGAAATTGGAATAAAGAAAAATAAATCAAAATGCAGGGGCTGAAGCAAATTCAAGCAACGATCACTTTTAATTAAATCTAATATTCACCTTGTTCTATTGTTCTCCTTGATTAAATCTAATATTCACCTTGTTCTATTGTTCTCCTGGATTAAATCTAATATTCACCTTGTTCTATTGTTCTCCTTGATTAAATCTAATATTCACCTTGTTCTATTGTTCTCCTTGATTAAATTTAATATTCACCTTGTTCTATTGTTCTCCTTGATTAAAACTAATATTCACCTTGTTCTATTGTTCTCTCTTATTAAATCTAATATTCACCTTGTTCTATTGTTCTCCTTTGATTAAATCTAATATTCAACTTGTTCTATTGTCTCCTTGATTAAATCTAATATTCAACTTGTTCTATTGTTCTCCTTGATTAAATCTAATATTCAACTTGTTCTATTGTTCTCCTTGATTAAATCTAATATTCACCTTGTTCTATTGTTCTCCTTGCATTTTAGCCGTCATTGACTTTAGAGATACTGTACAGGTTTATATACATCAACTATGAAATTCCGAATGGGGTAACTGCACTGCAGATATTCCCCTGTCTTTAATTAGTCAATATCTGATACAATATCTTTAAGTTTACTGATAGATGAGAAGATGATGAAACAGCAACTTTATAACCAATATGATATAAAATATATTGAAAACTGACAACTTGTATCCAAATACTCCATGGCCAGTTGATCCCTTCAAAAGGCTTTTGATGAAACATCACCAATATGGCCTGCCATGGATGGAATGGGGAAATCTATTTATGAAAAGTGTTCCAATCATCAAGATTCTTAGGGTCAGGTAGCTGGAATGCCATGGCCACCTGAATGTGTTGGAACATTTTGCTGCTAAAAACTTACCTTCCATGTATGTTTCTCTCCCACAATTAGTCTGGACAATATCACTGTGAAAATCGGCATCATTCCCTAAAACATAAATTCAATGGTAAAAAATGATGAAACAATTGTTATTTATACCTGTACCATACTTATTTAAGATGGTTTCCTTGTTCATTTTCTAGCAAAAACAAAATCAATAGTATACCCAGTATAATGTCACAAACTATAGCAAATGCCATTAATCTATAATACTTCATGTAAACCGATAAACTTCATTGTATGATATACGGCATTCAATGTATGATATACAGATGAATAATTAAAATGACCGTATGATATACAACAGAACAAATGCACAATTAAAATCATGATGCTTAACTGTAGGTCTGTGAAATTGTGAATTAAGGGATATTTACAGACATCTGTATTTTAATTTGCTACCTATATACTGTGTTGTTGATTGTAAATATTTCTTGTAAATGTACAGTTACTGTATTGTTAAAAAGAGTATTGACCTTATAGAGTATGTCTAGTAGTTAACCCTTTTGAGTGGCAATTAATGCACCCTAATGCTCCCCACTTTAATTATTATTTTACTAGTGTCTAATGGCAGACAATTTTACTCGTCATGTGGAGAGCACTGCCACTCAATGGGTTAACATTGTAAATATACATGTCTACTGCATGCAAATGACTAATGTACTAACAATACCTTTACTGTTGCAGTTAATGCAGAATATTAAATTTTCCAAATCAGATCCACCAATAAGGTTTTTAGTAAAAGAAAAATAGAAAAAAGTCATAAGGTTAGTATAGGCCAAACTTGTGTCTTATTAATTGCTATATATAAGCATTAACTACATCCCCTTCAAGATGGATGCGGATTAAGCTTTCTATCATCTAGTTGAATATTATTATTATTACAGTAATTATTTGGGGACAGTACATAAGATTTAGCTTTTTTGGGATGGCGGATAGATTTTGCTTGACATATATATGTCCAGGGCTTGAAATAATGTTCCCAAAGTTCCTGATCATGGTAATCAGCCACCATAGCTTTCCATGCTTTTTTGGATTGAAAAACATTGCTGTTCTGCCGATCATAAACAACTTCTTGCCAATCATTGATCGGTGATCAGCTGTTATTTCATGAAATATTAGATTCAATGCTGCATCTCATTTGCCTTACTCATTAAGTAATAACAACTATACTTTTTTTGTCAGTGAGATCAAATTAGATTGAAACTATGCATGACAAGCAATTAAGATGTAAGGTCTATGAGCAAAGTTTATATTTATGCTAGAAAAATACTCCTAAGTCACATATCTTAGGTTGATTTCACATGTTGAGATTAGTGGTATAACCCGGTGATTATCAACAATGACCCTGTTGTTGTTCTGGGTAGAATGGGTCATTCCAGAAAACATCCATACCACCCCGACGGAGGAAATTGGAAGTTAACCCCCCTACCCCCTTCGGATGTCCTAATACATTTACTATTATCAGAAACAATTTTGTCTCCCCTCCCCCTCCGGACGGCAGAGGGAGTGTGGATCTTTTCTGGAAAGACCCAATTATAATTTGCAATATTATTTATTTTAAAATAATGCCAGCTTTGTTGTGAGAGAGATACAGCTATACCTGAAAAATACAAGCAGAACTTCAATGTTTCAAGCAAAGGCCCTCCATCAGGAAGTCAGTGGCTTCCCATCAAAGAACCTTCACTCAAACATCCAATCTTTCTCACACCATAGCTCAAACCTCAGCTGTTTGTTTTCATCACTACCTACACTGGCACCGACCATCCAAAATTAATGTCGGCCTGATTAGAGTTAAGGGTAGGGTTGGGGTTATGGGGGTTAGGATTGGGGATTGTAAAACCTAGAGTACCGTAATGTTTAAAGTTAGGGTTAGCTAATATCAGTGGTCTTGCATCAATATCATTATCAAATTATATTATTGCTGACCAGACCAGTATATGGAGTCATTCTCAATCATCAACATGTCAAAAACTTAAGGCACCAGTTCTCTAGCACTAGCATTACTAGCACCACCAATATGGGGCACTACACTAAGTACACATGAAAATACACAGTACCTAAACTGACTGCCCAATTTCAGAATACTTGAAGCCATACCTGTATGAGCATATGAGACAGGAACTTTCCATATCGTAATATGGGCTGACACGGATCCAAATATTCTGCCCAAACCCAAGGGAACAATCAGCTGTAAAAACGTTCTATACGGTATCTTTGGGCGCTTGGGAACTCTCCAAAAATTCAGAAACGGGCCAAGATAGACAGCGGACGATAGAAAATGTATCAAAGACAATGAAATAGGATGTGGAAATTGTGTGAGTAATTTTTTATTAATAATATTGTTGAGAGAACTTATCGAGTACCATATTAAACATAAAACGCATATTCGTACTTTTTCATTCCATGTTTTCATCATTTTACCATATCACCATGTCATGTTGTATGAGCTGAACTGAACAATGCCACGTCTACTCAATTTCTCGCGAGATTGAAACGTGACGTGTTATATTAAATCTGTCAAGCTGCAGTTTGATCGAAACAGTAAATTAATAGGAATTCCCTAACGAACGTTTTTAAACACCTTGGAAATATGAATCACAAACAGTGTACTATATAAAGTCCTATAAATATGAACTACACTGGTGAACTATGGCCACAAATGAAAGTTTTCGCGCAAAAATCCCGAATTTCGCGGACTTTTTTCGTTTATGAACCAGAAAATTGTAATGTTCCAGTAGTTCCGGTCCCCGGTCACGTACTGATTCCAGTTCCGGTATAGGTTCCTCCGCAGGCATCACCTTTACATTGGCGGGCAGAATTAGTTGCGGGCAAAATATAAGAGTTTTTTGTCGACACTTTTCCCTGTGTGGAAAACCTGCAACTGAAACCGGGGAGGGAGAATAGATATCTAAGAACCAACGCGAAAATAAAATATCCTTAATTAAAATGCGAGAAATGTCTACTTTGTGATAATGTTCATAGGGCAAGTAGGAGTTGGACAAGAATTTGGACTAAAAAAAACCATAATTAAAGATATGCTGAAGCATTGTAGAAACTGAAACATGATTTAGAATATTCCATCATTATGGTTATGATGTTGGCTAAGCATTTTTTTTGCAACACGGGCATCGCTGACCATCGGCAACATACGAAAATGGTATTCAATACTTCTTTCGATACAGAAATTCGGAATTTGGGCGGAGCGAGGAGATATAAATTATTTTTAGCTGGTTATTCATAAATGTGTCCTCAGATTTCGAGACGGCTTTTAATTCAATGTATAATTTTGATATTTAGAAACTTTATGCTGGCGTAAAAGGGAGAGCATAATTTTATAACTGGACTAGCCTGCATGGCAGGCTCATTGAATAATGATTTTCCCTGAGATTGTTGCAGGCTCATCTTTGAGATGAGCCTGTCACGCAGGCTATATCTGAACTGCAGAGAGATTTCGTTGAGCCCATCATACTAGTACTATGACGTCAACTGAAGAAACCGCAGAACAGTGTTATAGTAATATTTGGACACCCCTCCCCTCCACCCCTTCCCCTCGTCTACGGCGTTGAACTAAATGGGCGTAATGGGCAAAGGTACTCTTATTTATAAGCTTGTTGTAACAAGAGTACACTACAAGCCTATCAACAACTTGGAATTTCTAGCCATTTCCACACAGGCATACGGAACCCTTCCTTTATCGTAGCGGACAATACAATTTTTTTTTCTCGTTATATTAAAGTTCCCAAAATTTGTGACGACGGATGGGGGGGGGGGCATTTCGAAATAAACGTTAATAAGACCGTTTTCAAAACGTAACATAATCCATGTACGTTTATGCTTGAACATTTTCACCCAAGGTTTATATCCATTTAATTTAGAGTATTCAGCGCCGTTTTACAGACAGGGGCGAAACTAGCTCCTTTTAATTCGGGGGGGGGGGG